CGAAGTCGATTTCCGATGTTGACTGGGGGTCTGCACCGTACAATATTCGAATATCCCGTATTCGGTGAAGGGGGACACCCATAGCTATTTGCAACTGGGCAGCTGGAAGGTTGACACCGCTGACCATTTCCGTTGTTGGATGCTCTACTTGCAATCGAGGGTTCAGCTCCAAAAAGTAGAACTTGTCATCAGCATGCGAGTAGAGGTACTCCACAGTGCCGGCGGAAACGTAGCCCACAAGCCTGCCAAGCCGAACGGCAGCCTTCTCCATGGCTCGAAATGTCGCAGTATTGGCGATTGTGACGGGAGCTTCTTCGATAATCTTTTGATGTCTCCTTTGCACTGAACAGTCCCTTCCGAAAAGGGAGATATTGTTCCCGTACTCGTCGGCCAGCAGTTGTACCTCCAAATGCCTAGCATTTCCGGCAAGCTTCATTATGAATATGGGCGATCCAGGCACCTCACTTGCAGCGGCATTGTAAAGAGCTGTAAAATTCTCCTCATTGTCCACTTTGCGGATACCCTTCCCTCCACCTCCTTCTGAGGCCTTGACCATCACAGGAAATCCGATCTTGCGAGCTGCTTCTAGACCCTCCTTGGGTGAGTGTGTGCATCCTTTGTCGTAAACGTCATCGTCGACCGCCACAATGCCTTCCTCGTCAACTCGAACCTTGTCGACTCCCTCACCAGACCAGGGTATACATGGGACTTTTGCGTGCTGCGCAACGATTGTGGAGGAGATTTTGTCACCCAGGGACCGCATTGCCGAGCCCGGGGGGCCGATAAAAATGATTCTTTTGGGCAATGCTGCCAAAGATTCGGGCAACTTTGGGTTTTCTGAGGCATGTCCCCTATGAGAGTATTAGCCCTGCCCAAGACAAAGAGCAGAGCGAATGCTCACCATCCTGCCCAAACAGCGTGGACGTTCATTCGCTCAGCGATATCGACGATCAACTCCACGTTTGCGTAATTGTTGTTGTTCGTGCCGCCGGGGACCTGTGTGCACGAGATCAGCACTTGGTTTTGCCATCCGGAGCATTTTGGTGCCAGAACGCTGGCAGCCTTCCCGAGGAGATGTACTCACCTCAACGTATTGATCCGCCATCCTTATGTAGTCTGCATTCGCGGCCAAATCTTCCGGTGTGGCCATCACCGTAAATTGTATGGCCCGCTCGTCTAAAAAGGTTTCGTAGGCCCATTTTCGTACGGATCTTATTTCCTTGACTGCAGCAATACCGTTGTTTGCAATGAGCACCTATGTAGTTGGTCAGTCTAGCACAATGCCACTTCGGAAGCTGTGTCTGGGAAGCTTACGCTAGTAATGACGGTGTGCCCATCGTTGTTGGTAACGAAGTCCTTGACGGACCCTGCTGCAGCTACTCCTAGATGATTGCCGCCGATGAAGTGGGGTGGCATCTTAAATTTGGCGGCGTAAGAGCTTGAATGTCTCGGACGCGATTGCTCTTTGGTGGGGTGCGCATCGCCATTTGTCAAAGTGCCATTGGTCTTGGGCGCCCCGTTGGCCGTCACAGAAGCCATCTTGTCAGTGCTGCCAAAATGGCAGGAAGTATGGATGGTTAGTCAGTAAGAAGTGGTCGTGGATGTTATCGGAAGGATTCCAAATTGCTAGCAACGGTGTCTACAGCCCAGCTTAGCTTGAAGATGTTGTTGAGAGGGAGAGTGGGAGTGCTAGAAGATGGAGTGAATGAAGCGGTCGATGATCAACAATGTTGTACTGTCGCCGATGATGTTAGAGTCGGTGTGAAGAAGTGTAAGAGTAAGAGGACCCGAAGTAAGAGACCGGCGTAAGAAAGTGTTAGAATTCGATGCCGCCGAGAGTATTCAGCTATGTACAGTCAGCCGAACTGCATGAATATATCATTGACTCCGCTTTTTTTCGGCGACTTCAAATGAGGATGCAAGCCGCTTACTAGTTCGGCCCCCCACCGTAGAAAGCTACTCTACCCCTTCTCGCTCTTCAATTTTTATGCACCTTTCGGCAATCTACGGGTTGTCACATAAAGCGACTCTTACTCTTCGCCATAAATATTTACATCGGCAATCACGCGCCATCAGGACTATCTGAGGCTCTAGAATGAGAATTGGATGATGAAAAGACCATTGTTGGGCCCCCAGGCACTTCTAACTTCCGATGAAATTTTTTGACAGAGGCCCTTCGTTGGGTGGAACTAAGTTATTTTCGGTAAGCGTAAGTACCAGCACTAAAATCTCTCAACCAGACAAATTTTCTTCCTTCTCTCGTTCCTCGAGGCGTCCAAGGACGACGACTATTTTATATTGATGCTCTTGCTGTTGATGTTTTCAGCGTCGAACATGCTTGTCGTTCTCTAGAAGCCAGAGAACCTTGTGAAAGTGTACTACCTACACCAGGTTAGGATGTGGTAAAGGTGAATCGGACACCGAGAAACCTATCACATCCCTCCGTCTCCTCAATCCTGCCACACCTAATACAATCCACCGTTGCGTTGGCTTTGGACCCGCAAAGTCATTCAAGCTGTGCCTTTGCTTTATTTTGCAATTGTTGAGGACATGCCACCCAATTCCTCGCGCACATTCGTCGTCGCCTCTTCCGCAGTGTCAATATTCAGTTAGCGAATGTTTACCAAAGTGTATTCGAAGTCTTGTGAGATTCTTTCATTTCGTAGAGGTTCGGCTATATACACAGCAGGTGTGTTTCAAGTCTTAGCTCATGGCTATATTAGAGAACCCCTCTCGCAGACAGGCACCCAGAATGACGACTGCATCTCTCCTTCATTGAACAAGATCGTTCATTCGCATATCAAGGTCTCATCGTATGCCTAGCTCTCATGACCATCTAATAAGAAATCATCTCAGAGAGCAGCCATGACAGTCAGCCGAACTGCATGAATATATCATTGACTCCGCCTTTTTCGGCGACTTCAAATGAGGATGCAAGCCGCTTACTAGTTCGGCCCCCCACCGTAGAAAGCTACTCTACCCCTTCTCGCTCTTCAATTTTTATGCACCTTTCGGCAATCTACGGGTTGTCACATAAAGCGACTCTTACTTGTACTCTTCGCCATAAATATTTACATCGGCAATCACGCGCCATCAGGACTATCTGAGGCTCTAGAATGAGAATTGGATGATGAAAAGACCATTGTTGGGCCCCCAGGCACTTCTAACTTCCGATGAAATTTTTTGACAGAGGCCCTTCGTTGGGTGGAACTAAGTTATTTTCGGTAAGCGTAAGATTAAGTACCAGCACTAAAATCTCTCAACCAGACAAATTTTCTTCCTTCTCTCGTTCCTCGAGGCGTCCAAGGACGACGACTATTTTATATTGATGCTCTTGCTGTTGATGTTTTCAGCGTCGAACATGCTTGTCGTTCTCTAGAAGCCAGAGAACCTTGTGAAAGTGTACTACCTACACCAGGTTAGGATGTGGTAAAGGTGAATCGGACACCGAGAAACCTATCACATCCCTCCGTCTCCTCAATCCTGCCACACCTAATACAATCCACCGTTGCGTTGGCTTTGGACCCGCAAAGTCATTCAAGCTGTGCCTTTGCTTTATTTTGCAATTGTTGAGGACATGCCACCCAATTCCTCGCGCACATTCGTCGTCGCCTCTTCCGCAGTGTCAATATTCAGTTAGCGAATGTTTACCAAAGTGTATTCGAAGTCTTGTGAGATTCTTTCATTTCGTAGAGGTTCGGCTATATACACAGCAGGTGTGTTTCAAGTCTTAGCTCATGGCTATATTAGAGAACCCCTCTCGCAGACAGGCACCCAGAATGACGACTGCATCTCTCCTTCATTGAACAAGATCGTTCATTCGCATATCAAGGTCTCATCGTATGCCTAGCTCTCATGACCATCTAATAAGAAATCATCTTTCATTGGTACGACCACTCAGAGAGCAGCCATGATGGCAATGAAAGCGCCGAGACATCCACCAGCCGACGCAACAGCATTGATAGTGGCACCAGTGAATTGAGCAGCGCAACTCGAGGTCGTGCTCCCGCTTCCGGTTCCCAGTGATGAAGATGCAGCTGTGGAAGAAGTTGTGGTTGATGTGGTTGGGAAAGGTGGGGCAAGGGTGGTAGCTGCAGCACTGCTTGCAACGACAGCTGGGTTTGAGGATGTTGAAGGTGTCAAGCTGGAAGAGCTGATAGTAGAGGCTTCCGCTGGTGTTGCTGATGCCGCGCAAGCGCATACAGCACTTGCTGAAGCCTCCAAACGGTTACGGCACCGCAGCCTTTGAGGATGCTAGAGAGAGAGCTGCAGAGTTATTCGCTGCTGCTGAATCTCATGAGTAGGAAGGTCGTTGTTGATGATGGACTAACCCGAATTCGATGGTAAACATTGACATAAGAAGTCGGCGGGGCCGCTGCAGATTCTATCGCGCAAACCTCTTTTTCATCGTCAGCTCTGTGTCAACAGAGGACCGCAAGATCAACATGAATTACAGCGCAAAGTAGCCACACGCTGATCCTGAGCTTGAGTGATCGCCGCGAGGCCGAGGCCCAAAAAGATTGCATCAGGCATCGTGATTGCTAAAGAGAGAACCTTTTCGAAAACCTTCGAGCGAGTGAGCGGCAAGCAAGTGTCCATATATTCGGAGGGTAAGAGATGGATCAGACGAAGATATGAGCGGTTGGGAAGGGGACTGGTGGGGATATTCAGATATTCAAAATGGTCTTGACCAAATCTTAGTCAATGCCAGTACTAGTACGGGAATTGTGTCAATTATGTGGAGATTGGTATTTGCCTTTGGAAAACCTGCCCTGACGCCAATGATGACCCGCTCAGTATGTTACAGACCGAATTGGTATTCATCGGCACTATACTATTCTTATCCAGATACTCCGTAGTCTCAGGAAAGTACATGTACTTAGAGCCTTTTGATACTTCGTGGCGGGGTGGATAAACAATCTTTCCGGGAGAAAATTCGTTTCCCTTGGCCGGAAACCCTTCCAGAAGGCTCCGGTCAGACCTTGGCTATCATCTCTCTGATGTTCTCGGTTGTCCGGTGGCAAATATTGATGTGGCTCAAATCAAAAATCAAGGGCATTCCCACCAAATTCTTCATTGGGGAGACGCTTCAAAACAATGAGGTCAGCCACGTGGTGTATGAGGACTTCTTACCCCAAGCTTTGACGGAAGGGACATATGTTACGGCGCCGGAACCCTTCGTCGTTGGCCATGGTCTTGAGTATATTCAGGAGGCATTTGATGTCCAGAAGAAAGGCGTGTCGGCGAAGAAGGTAGTTGTGACTTTGTGATATATTCCGGTTGACTCGAGCATTGGAATCGAGGGAAGAAGGGTTGCGAAAGCGTATAACCTTAGTTCACGTCGTTACCGAAAATGGCTATTCTGGAGCTGAGATGTTAAAGGATATATTCAAGAGACCGGGATGGAATGGCATATGGACTGGCTGTCGAACAACTGAGACTAGCCATTAGCAAAGGACGAGCTAAGTGCGTGGCACGATTGGGCAATAGTAGCGTCTATGATGGATTGCATTCGAGCTTTTTGGAGAAAGCGTTGGCGACTGGGACGCAGAGTGTCACGCTGGCTGTGGGTCAGGCGCTGCCGGCGGCGGAGGTTGGAGTGGGGAAGTTGAGTAAGGGTGGGTCGTAGGATGTTTGAGGTGAAGGCTGTTGTCGTTGTTGATTATTTGTTGAAAGTTTGACGGAATGGTGGAAACGAGGTCTATGATGTAGCTGCGCGTGTTTGGATGGATATCAGCCCTTGTCTCTTTTCTGTTGGTCTTTCTAGGGAAGTATTCCCTTCACAAATGCCTCAACGGTGATACCTGGATACGTTGGCCCAGCTGAAACAGTTCCCCATACCTGAACGCGTAACAGCATGCTGCGGCAAGAGGTTAAAGGAGCGGTGAAAGAGATTGGGTTGGACGAGGTATATCAAGAGAAAGGAGCTGCGCAAACCGTTGACAGAGCTCTATGGACTGAACGCACTGACTGGTCTAGCAGTGTCACAGCTCCAGCCTCGTCGCGCTACTGACAGATTGACGTGAATCGTAACCCAATGCCTTTCTCTCTCGCTAAAATATTAACATAGCATGCGCATCAAGGGTATCTATTAACAGGAACAATCATCGACCACCACACCACCAATGCACGAGAAAATATCCCATATCATAGGCCAGTGACGCTCAATACTCTCCTCCAATCCTCCCTTTCAAAAGCTATACACCCTCACCTCGTTATCGTCCCCCCCAGTACACATGCGATTGTCGCTTAATCCTAAACAGCTGATTGGGCCTGCATGCCCTGTAAAGGTGCGCTCGCACTTCCCGGACCGAGTATCCCACACCTTGACCATCCGATCTTCAGCTCCACTCACCACGCGTAGGGAGTCCGCTGCCAGTGCCCAAACGCCCTCGACGTGCCCGAAATACGTGCGTAGGCATCTGCTTGTGTATGTGTCCCAAAGCCGAATGGTAGAATCCAGAGCACCGGTCAGCATGTAGCGGGGTGGCATTGGGCGGTCGCATGCTGTGAAGCCTCGGCCGTAAGGTTCTGCGATTGGTTGGGTGGCGGATTGAGGACACTGCGGATGAGATTGGGTGCTTGTGGTTGAGGAGGCGCCGTCGTTGTCGTCGACTTCTGTGTCTTCGAAGTCGAAATCATGAGGTAGAGTTACGACTTGTTGTACTTGTCCAACATGACCCTCAAACGTCTTAATACAAGACTTGGTGTCCAAATCCCAAAGTTTAACGGTGCAGTCGTCGGAAGCGGAGAGGACGGTACGAGAGGCGGAATCCACTCGAACGGCATTGACCCAGTCGGTGTGGCCACGCAGCGTAAATCTTGAGCTATTGGTGAAATTCCAAATTTTGATCGTTTTGTCCATCGATGCTGTCGCTAGGAGTGATGAATCGAAATGCAATCCGACGATGCCATTGGAGTGCACGGCGTGGGTCGCGATACATTCTCCCTTCCTCCAGTCCCAGATCTTGACAGTCCTGTCGATACTGCCACTGATGAGTTTCGAATCGTCGAACTGGAGACACCGAATTCCAGAGGCATGCCCCGTTAGTGTTCGGATCTCTTCGCCCGTAGCTATGTCCCATACTTTTATCGTTGCATCATATGACCCCGTTATTAGGACCGAATCGTCAAATTGCAAACACATAACCCCGTTCTGATGTCCTCGAAAGATCTTGAGGTCGTGGCGCCCATATTTCCAATTAGTTCCGACGCGGAAACGATCCTTATAGACGTCCTTCCATGGTCGAGTTCGTGGTCGAAAGTACGAGTCGTCAGCCTGGGTAGTCACCCGTGAAGGCACTTGGTTCTTGACGAGAGGAGCCATGAGTTCAGCCATTGCCGACATCTGATCTTTAGCGCCAATGTTCGGGACTACTTCCAAGGCAGCCTCAGGATATGGCGTGATATCTGGTGACCACTCATTCAGTCCCCTACCAGTAGCTCGCAGTTGAATCTGTCTCTTTGAGGCCCTGAGCCTCTTCCTCTCCAGCAGTGGTAGACCCCAGCCGCACTTCGTACACTTTCTATCGATATGCTGCTCGCACATCCTATGCCATACCACATCATCATCGGCGAGCGACCTCCATCGCTGGCTGACTTGAGCTGCTTTACACAAGGATGTCGTGTCCAGAAAGCAGAGAACTTTGTAGGATATTTCTGGTGGTAGGGCGGTGAGGAAATCGATGCGGATGAGATCCCGGACATTAGTTGACAAATACGACAGTTGTGGGAAGCAACATTGTGTGAGTATTCCTTTTCCACATGTCAGCACAGATGAATGTTTCGAGCAGACTTGTTGTGGAATCTACCCTGGAGCATGAGATTGCGATGTTTGGCCGGAGCAGCTGAGAATAGTGACCACACATGAGCAATGGCCTGCTGATCGCTTTGCGAGAGGTCTTCAAGCTCCTACAGATAGTGAGCATATTTTCGTTGGTCAGGTGACACAGGTGGACTTACGTGCTGGAGCTGATCCATTGAAGGCTCGTTGGCCTGTCTCCTACACTTCAAATCCGGCCGATGCCTGTAACAGTATTTGGTATTCGGGTCTTTCACTTTTGCATTTCCTGATGAGTCCAAGCCCCCTGCAGGTGCATACTGTTCCGGGATATGTTTGGCGAGGAATGGTGCGACTGTTTGCTCTGCCTGCTTGGACGAAGCTGATATAGAGATATTCTCATGATTGTCCTGACAGACGTCTTGGCCGGCATCAGCGCCCCGAGTATTAGAGCCTTGTGGTGCTGGAAGAGCATCCAAGAACATGTCTTGTGGTAGTGTGATCCTCCTCCTCTTTGAAGGGCTTTCTAAGTAATGGTCTGTTTCGGAGTATCTGCAATGGTCTTCTCCTGGGCTCGTCATTATGTTCGCAGAGCCGCGTAAAAAAATGTTGCAGAGCCTCGAAGTGATCAACAACGGTCTTTGTAGGATGTTTGAAAATGTATGTGCTGGCTCGGAAATGTTCGCAGATTCGCAATCGATGGCGTGCGAAGGCGAGTTTTTTGTGATTGGTCGTTCAACCGGCAGGATTGCTGTCAAACGTGATATATAGCAAATATGATGAGCTGGAAGAGCCAAGCTCCATTGGTTATTTTCATCTGACGTGGTACAACTTCCCTATCACGACCGTTCAAACTTGCCATATCGGCCAAAAGCAAGCTGGTCCGACTCCACTTTTGCTGTTCCAGACTCCGGGTTTTGCCACGGTCGCTTATCGCGGCGGCTAAAAATGGACCCTTGCCAAGCGTGCTAGCTTTGCGAACCTTTTGTCTCTTGCTGGAGTGCTGCAATATGCAAATCCGCCCGATCAGCAGCTCGCAGGTAACTACACCAAGGCCCATGATGCCGTTCAAATTTGGCTTTCCTCGACTTTCTTCGACTTCCGTTTGACATATTAGCAGGCGCAATGTCAAAAAGGTCAAGCAAGTGGAGCGTTACAAGTCCGCTGAAGCTACAAAGACAATATCAGCCCAAACATGAGGTTTCTTGTTTTCGATGATGGATCCCTTCTCACTCGTAGTCGGCGCCACAGGTCTCCGATATACCAAAAGCTTGGCGGTGCTGGCCAAAATCGACTGAGTCAGCTCAAATCGCCACTCAGTGACAAGGATCACAAAGAGGCTATCGTGCAACTCAGAGCCTTTTCCCAATGGTTCCAATTTGCTTTGACCGTCGATGGCTGCGCCTTGCTCTCCAAAATCTCATCAGATGTGTTAGCCATCTTGACGAAGCAATCAGATACCTTCCAGTTGCTAGGGGACATTGACCGTTGGACCTGCTCAATCGAGCTATCACTGACAAATCAACCCCGAACCTTGAGGGATCGTCGCGCTGTAGATGAGCGAGAGAAAGGTCCTGGACTGGTTGTCGACCGTCAAACACGAACAAAACAACCATGACATTCACATGCCACGAATTGATGGAACCGGAGAATGGCTGCTGCATGAGGTAGCATTTCGAAATTGGCGTGATAACCCCAAATCCCGCGACAATGTTTTGTGGTGTAATGGTATTCTGGGTTCTGGAAAGTCTGTGCTTGCGTAGGGTCATTCCCAATACACGCCCAATAGCAACGGTTGACAGTCTTCAGGTCTCTGGCAGTCGATCGGCTGAGAGACGTTTTGTCGGATCAAAATGTTGTGGTAGCACATCTCTATTTTGAATTGCGAGATCAAGATTATCAATCAACAGAAAATATGCTCGCAAGCTTACTCAAATAGCTTGCCATTCCGAAGACAGAGGTCCCTAAGTCAGTATTGGAGCTCCATCGGAGAATGAATAGCCTGCCAAAAAGGCCACAGCAATAAGGATTACAGCAAGCACTTGTCTTTACATGCCAGGACTATGATTGTTCATCGTCATTGACGCAATTGACGAATGCTACATGAATAGCCATAAAAAAGCTTCTTTGAAAGCTTTAGAAACGCTTCGAATAAACTCAAGCTCAAGTATCTTGATTACTAGTCGTTCTTACCCAGACGACATCAAAAAGACTCTCGGAAGCGCTCCCCAGATCATCATTGGCGCTGACGATGACAATTTGCAGATATACATCTCGAGGGAGATAGACGGGAGCGACAACGTCGATGTCATTGATAGAGAGTTCAGGAAAGAAATCATCGCGATCGTCAGCCAAGCCGCCCAGAAAATGTGCGTCGAATGTCCTTCACTAGATCATTAGATTGTTTTTCTGATATAGGCATAAATCGAGGCTAAGCTCCTGTCGCTCGAAAGGTTTCTATTAGCGGTACTCCAGATCCAGGCGATCCTCGCTGAGCCTACTTTTGGTGAAATGGAAGAAACCCTGAGCACCATACCTTGGGGTTTGAATGGCGCTTTTGAGGAGACATTGCAGAGGATCCACAAATTACCAGACGGGCGCAGAAGACTAGGCTTGAGCACGCTGATGTGGGTGTCTCATGTGAGCAAGCCCTTGACGGTCACCGAATTAACCGATGCTCTTTCAATAAAGCTAGGCCAAATGTTTCTAAATACGAAGTACTGGCTCTCACAAAAGATGATCGTCGATTGTTGTCTGGGTCTAATCACCGTGGACGAAGAGGGTTCTGTGATCCGCCAGGTGTACTCTACGGTTCAAGAACAATTTTGCAAACAACTAGATCAGACCTTTGCCTTAGGCGAACAGACGAATGCGGAACTGTCGATTACACATCTACTGACAGAGTCGTTTGCGCAAGGATGCTGTCCGGACGAGATCAGTATCATAGCGGTGATATCTCATCACCCCTCCATCAAATATGCAGATCAGCTCTAAGGATACCACGTGCGAGTTGCCAACAGCGAATGAGCTAATAGACTCGCACTGAATCTCCTCAAAGCTGGATCTCAGCTTGCATTTTTCGATTAAATCTTGCATCACATGCGATGTTACATAGAAACATACAGGGAAGCCAAAGAAGCCAGCAGGGTCAAAAGTCTGCATGTTGCCGCTTACTTTGAGCTCGAAGACCTCTCCAAGCAGCTTTTGGATACTAAAGTAGTTGACATCAATTCTGCAACTAGTATGGGGACGACAACTCTGATGCATGCCTCAGCAAGCGGGCGTATTGCCTTTCTAAAGATGCTCTTGAAAGAGGGGCGGATACTCGAAAGGAGAATTGGTATGGTACTGCTCTTCATTGCAGTGCGGAATCCCGCGAGGTGTCATCTATCATCGAGCTACTAGGAACGGGGATCGACCTCCACTATCCATCTATCCTCAAATCATCTACCGACGCCCCTTTTGTTATTATGCATTCTGAAGTCGTGCTCCACAACCTTCCGACCCTGGCGTAGATAGCAGCAGATGGGCTCCGTAGTGTGAGTCCGTAGACGGTTTGAGGCGGCATTCCCACCTTCTTAGTTGCTCTCCTAAGGGTGCGTAGCAGAAATTGAACTACACCAACAAGCCACAATCAATTCTCTAATCCATAGTAATCAGTGTGTATTCATTGAATGAAATCATTGTGGAATACTTTAAACTTCCCCAGCCGAGCCAGCCCAGCACATGAAAGCATGAGGGTGCGTAGCGCCCATCACGCTACTCAACTCCTTTTTCGACGACATCTCTTGGTACGGAAATTCATCCTCGCCTGTAGTGAAGCAACCATGCTGGAGACATGATGTTGAAGAATGGTGCGGCATCCCGAAGTCGTGCGACAAATTCTCATCTGTTCAATTGGAGCAATGGCTGCGGCTGCGAGATCAGGTAAAGCGTCTCTGAAGGGGAAGCAGACGCTTTCAACCCATCGCTTTCTTGCCACAAGCATCTTGCAACAGTTATATTGTCGCCTTATGAATTGCAAAGCCTTAAACTGATTCTTTCCATGTGTCACTGGAGGCGAAGATCGTCAAAGTCGTGACCGTAGAAGCCTTGATGGTGAATAGACCATGTGGAGAACAGGATCATTGGAACGCAGGAGCCTCCGAGGTCACAGCGAACAACCGACCCCAAGAATTGCTTGGGTATGAAGGCCACTTTCATTCTCGTCGAATGCTCTGATAGGGTATCGCAACGCGTAGCGATCGCCAAACTTCAACGCTTTGCCCATGGTAACGTACTCGAGAGAGTGGCGCCTCCGGACAGCTGGAAAAACACTGCACTGAGCACACAACCTCGTTTATGCTTTTATTACTCCTCTAATGCCTCCGCGCTCTCTCAAGAAGCTTCGCTCTGTGAGGCTCGTGAACGTGTAAGAGGGAAGAGGAGGAGGAGGAGGAGGGTCGATGGAGTTTCCTGACAATGTTAGCACTTATTCGAGGAAGGGCCGAGAGAAGTCGCAGGCCTTTGAAGAGTCCACGTAATTTGTCTGTTTTGACCGGTCTAAATTGTTGCTCCAGTTGCCAGGCGCAAAAGGGAGGGTCAAGACGCCGTAGATGAAAACAGGACCTTTGAGAACACCACCAGAGACAGTGGGGATGCGAGACAATAATGCTGACCGTCATCGAAGTTAATGCTGGCTCTTCAAGAGCGAGACGATGGTGTGTGTTGGTTGGTGAAGCCCGCTGGAAGGGCGTCCGCGTCTAGGCGTGAGATCATACGCGAGATCCATAAGGCTGTATGGTATGTTCGAAGCTCCTGAGTTCGAGCGCCTCTGCTTTTCTGGTGGATTTTTGTTTCACCCTCCGAAGCTGTCAGTCTTGCAAATACTTTTTCCCCAGTCATTGCTGTATGGTTTTAGGAATTTTGCTGCTTCTTTTTCTGGCCTGGTACGGCTATACTTGCATTGTGTTGGTCTTTCCACCGTTGCGACCGGAACTTGCGTCCCTTTCTGGCCGCCACCACCCCTGCCAACGAACATGTAGACACCGTTTACTGGTGACGGGCGCTTTGTGACGATTGCAAGGCTTTACATAATCGAAGTATGACTTTCAGTAAAAGCCTTTACTTTATTTTGAGGGTGGTGCGGGAACATTGTTGACATGCTATATAATTGAAATTGGAAGATTTCTTTCCATCCGGGGCAGTGGTCTAGTTTTCATCGCTTTCCAAATCGAGTCCGCTAACAAAATTACCACAGATTACTCAACAAAACACGACTAAGCATCCCCCCGACCCTTCCAGCTAACACCGATTAGCCTCCCGATTCACCGACAACTTTGTAAGCCCGAGGCTATGAGGAAGCATTTCATAGCTGCGAAACCTGACTAGAAGGTTGCCAGTTCGATTCCAAAACTGGTAGTTTGCTAGTGCGAACGATAAAATTAGCTGAGTTTGCTGGTTTCTCTACGATCGATTGTATACATAACATGTGCGCAAATATCAACACCGAGTAAGCACAACTTTCATTCAAGACCACTGCCCAGTTTTCTTTTTGGATTTTTTTTTGTGCCCTCGGTTTTCACAGAGCTTCTACTTGCACAACTGATCATTCGCTTTGAACATGTAACGCGGGAGATGTTTTTGTTTTCCTACTTCCCGAAAGTTGTATGGATCCACGAGGACCCGTCCAACACACCTGGACCGGCGCGTTTGCATTCTGCTAATCTCGACCCGGAATCGCGACACAGCTCTTCTATGCGATGACGAGGAAACAGATAACACTTTCTGCAGGCTCGGTTGCTCATATAGTTATGCTATTACTGCGAAATTAGCAAGCTTGAGGGCTTGAAGCTATCGGTTACTGCTACTGCTATAGCTATAGACCTGGGAAGCTTGAGGTTTAGTCTGTGGATTTGCTGTGTCATGCATCATTGTTGTCCAAAGTCATGCTTAGTATATCATTCATAGCCCGTCGCATCCTGCCGCTTGCAAATGCAGTCCAGGTCGATTGACACACTCGCCGCTGAAGGACACACGCTTCATATGCCTGTCTTCAAAATATCAGTCAGAACCGCTCTAGTATGCCCCATATTCATTACTTCACTATTCTAAAGGCAATCTATCTGCTATTGTACAAGCGCACCATTTCATCCTATCATCCTGATACGAGGTGAGCCACCATATTGCGACCCTTCTGCAAAACTTGGTAGAAGAACCCGGCAACCCAAGTACGCACACTTTTCCAACGCGGCTCTCTTACTTGGTGAACCAGCCAGGGCATGGTACGTACACATAGTCGAGCTCCAACCACAAGCCACAATTTCTCCTCGTCGGTTGTTACACTGACAATCTATACACCGGCAGCAAAGATCAAGAGTCCAAGCAGCCACCAAGCGCTCACATCCCGCCAGCCGACGCTCTTAAATTTTCCATTGCACACAAGCCTCGGTTCTTTCTTTGGGATGCCTGCGTAGTCCTCAGGATCCTCAGGATTGCCTCGCACAATGTCTAGAACATTAGATTGTATCGGAGCAAGCGTGGTTTCGAACCAGGAACGGACTTCGATTTTCCACTGATCTTGCGGTACAGCGCGACAGACTCTCGAGTTAGTCAAAGCATGTAGGCTCCATTTCCGTTCCCAACCTTGTAGGAACTATATCACACAGATTCGCCCTTCGGAGGGTATTCGTAAGCAGCATCCTGGCAAGCTCTTCTTCAGTCACCTGAGCGTCATCGACTGTCATAGTAGAAGACTGGTTGGCCTGATAGCTCGAACATTGACCTGAATCTGGATCACAGACCATGTTTTATCGATGCAGCCTAGTATACCTGGCCTCGGGTCGTTGTTGATGTAAGCGGTCGTGTTCCAGCTGTCGGTCTCATTGAACCTGGCCACTGTTGTCTTGGAAACGGCAGGGAACCCCGGGTCCTGGCGATACTTATCGTAAATCAATCCCTTCGAGTAGATCAGAAAGCTGTTCGCATAGCTGGATCTGGTGAGATCTCTAAGGGGAATGGTGGAATAGACCATATTCAGCCATTATTCGGCCGTGTTGCACAGATCTAGGATCAGAGTCAATATGACCGTCGTCATAGCCCAGGAAAGGATGAATTGATGCTGACCCAAGTGCAGCGTTTTTTTGTATGGCTCATTTGCTGTGAAATCCTCCAAATGATGAGAAGGCTCATCAGCGAAATCATTCTTCCAAGGGCATGCTTTTTTGAGGTTTGCAAATTCATCGTCGGCTTTGAAAGGAGAACATGTTGTCGTGCGGCGGAATTGGAAACGTTTGAGGGAACTTATGCCAACGAACCGAGCGTCGATCAAGCCGGTGTCGTGAGTAAGAGCAAGACTTGCACCCAGTGCGCATGTCTCCTCAAGAACGGGCACTTGTCTTCGGACCTCTCCGCATAAGTAAGGCTTTGGTGATAGAACGAACTACATCCATCTGCTTCGGCGTTGGCCTAGTAGCATTGTTTACTGTAGACAGCAGGATCGAAGTTTGAGCGTCTATCGTGTAGAACGTTGCGTTTGGGTGACGAAATTAGTGCCATTGTGTCGGTGATTATGTTGGCAGATAGGACACCGGCCGAAGATTCTGCCACGAAGATGCCAACAAACAGAGCTGAAAGGAGTAGGGAGAAGAAGATGTCGAATGGGCGCTGCAGAATGTTCTTCCAGATTCTGCGCATGCTCGGAGTACTTGGTCAAGTTTGCTTTTGAACAACTGAGCTGCTCGGGAGCTCAATACGACCTGGCCTAAGGACCTTCCACACATTTTCAACAAGTGCAAATGCTGCTCCAAGCTCTGAGTGTGACTCTTCAGTTGCATTCAGATTGTCATCCTCAAAGTGACCTTATTGTGGCTGTTGTGGAGTTTGGGAGCCAAATCGATGAACCAAAGGCGAGGACAGCCTGGACACAAGCGGAAGATGCATGGAGCTCTGCCGTTTGTTCTTTTGTCTGGAATGCCTTGTGTAGACATCAATGGCGTAGAAGAAAAGAGCTTTGAGTATGATCCAAAACCTTAGTTCCGCGAGGGTCAAAGCAATCGTCACTAAATTGCTAAGGATTGATGCCTGATACTAAGATACGAGGAATTGGCGACCTAGCAGTTGCACTGTTAGCAAAGATACGAAATTTGCGGTGATAGCCCTAGGAGATCCCTAATGACCCACGCAGAAGCCACGGCCGATCGTAGTCAGCCCGACTATTCAGCCCATGCTGTACATATGTCGACCGTACGTTGTTCATCGCCTAGCGGGCAGAAATGAGATGCTTCCTGGTTCTGATGATAACAAATTGGGATAGACATCTGAAGAGTTTGGTTATAAGGAGCAAAGACATGCTGGATTAGTACATGCTTCCAGTCTCAACATGAACGCCCACAGCCCGAAGGGCCACGTAGCTAGGCTGAATTGACGAGCTGCAGGAAGATAAAAACGAGATACTGACGCTGCAATTAGCCTCATATGCCAAGAAGCAGCCAGAGTGTTGGAGCTGCCAAGGCTCGAATGCTCGCTCTCAGAGCTGCAAGATGCCTGAAACTGGTCTGGATTGTGAGGCTTTTAAAATACTTAATTGCACAGTAGGGATACACTGAGCTCAGCACTCCATTTCGCTCGCACATCACGCAGGAGCAGATCGTGGTGTTTTAAGTCAAAGACTCTGCAATGCAGAGATCCCTTGCATGAGCTAACAACGTCAAGCACACTAGAGCCAAATTGCATGAACCTGAAATGCGCCCGCCAAGTATAACATCCTTCGCCGCAGCAACAAAACAGAGTGCTGAATTATTGACTGGCAGGAGCTACGTACAAATAGCTCATCGCCAAGCCTTGCCAAGCCTCTTTCAATTCGTGCAGGGCAATCGACAAGGCGGGGGGTGGCCTGTCTGAATTCCGCCCTGGTTTGACTACTCATGTTACTGAACAGTGGGCGCGGAGACGATTTTGAGCGGCAAAAAAGGTGCACGTAGTCATAAGTAGCATAGTCAAAACCACTCGAACACTGTGCCATCGTGTCGCTGACATCTCATGATCGAACTCCTGTCCTCAATTGCAAGCGAGCATTTGTTGAGAACTTGAGGTCCCAGAGTCTCGTCACTCAGCAATCGTCAGCGCCTGGCGGCCTATTCTGACCAAATCATGATTCTCGAGCGGTTCCTTCTCGAAGCCATGGATGATCTCATGAAGCATAGCGGCCGAAATCTCCGCAACGTCGACACTCGGCAACGACATCACATACTTCATGACCATGGCAAATATCGTCTTCAGATATTGCCCCCGCGCCGTGATGAGCCCAGGCTTTGCCACACACGCCTCCACGGCGCCTTTGTGCTCCGCGGCGAACGCAAGGACCTGAGTCTCAGTCTCGCCCTAGACAGTTGCCGGAACCGTCAGCTTCGGCGGTCGTTGCCACGCCAGGATTCACACGAATGGCGCGTGTTCAGTACTCACTCGCATCAAGCAATACTCCGGCATCCAGCTTGGGGTCTTATTCTGGTCGCGCTCCGTCGCGGTGCCGCTCATGTACAAAAAGCGCAAGGGTGGGGCGCCACGACTGCCACCCTCGCTGTGCGCCTTGAATATGGCTCGAAGCCCAACGAGCGTATACTCCTGGCACACTCGACGTACTTCATCGAAGTCGAGCCCGCGCGATTTACTTGGTGTAATCGCGACGGTCCTAGTAACGGGGATTTAGTCACTTGCCAGGCCGACTGAGGCACAGGCAAGGGGCGAAGACGTGAAAAGATTTACAAGGGAGGCAAGGGAAGATTGGCGAACACACCAGATACAAGTGTCCGCGCCGGCTAGCTGCCTAATCGCATCATCCGGGTAGTTGCCGTAGTTGTCGAGAACGACGCTGTGTAGCTTGGAAGCGTCGGCACCCTGGCCAAGGTTCGAGGGTGTCGATACAGGGCGGCGGGCAATTGCGATTACGGATGAAACCTTGGGAATGCTTAGGCTTTGACGGATGATTTCTGTGGCGACAAAGCCGGACGCACCAGCCACGATGAGCTTCATGGCCTGTTGGGTGATACTTTAGGGTCTCAAAGGAGAACCCTCTTTGTGACAGACGGAGGAAGCCACTTTACCCTAATCAGCCAAGCGCATTAGAGTCGGCTTCTCGCGGCAACTAATAAAATAGCTCATTCCCAAGCTTTGCTGCACATCCTCGTCATTGTTGACTTCGATTTAAACAGATTAAAAGGTTAAAAATTAATGAGCTCGATAATATCGCTGTCGAGCAATCTTGCACGCCAGCTTCAACATCCTAATTGGTGTTCACCACGCGCACGTAAAAGCAGGTAAATACCACCGCCCGCTAACATCTCAGGCATCAACCTCGCCGTTCCCCATGGCCTCCTCAACCTCTTCCCTCCAGCCACCCTCTCCACCCCCCGGTCCCTTTTCCGCCGCAGGCATAGCATCTTCGCCCCTCGAGACACTCATCCCTCACCTCCTCGCCTCCAAACGCTCCCTATCCTCCATCAACCACGTCTGGCGCGCCAACGAACTCTGCACCTCCACCCGCACGTCCCTCGAGAGATCCACCATCACCACCGCCCGCACATCTTTCCTACGCAGCGGCATCACATCTCAGCTGGCTGTTCTGCGGCAGGTGCATCGAAATTCGGAGACTACGGCTAAGCAAGGCAGAGCGGAGTTTGAAGCTGTGATTCAGGTTTTGGATGAGGCGGACGAGAGGTTGCGTGATACGCTTGGAAAGCTGAGGAGTACGATTGTGGAAAAAGGGTTGAGGCCGGGGGATGAAGAGAGGAGGAGTTTGTTAGATTTCATGAATGAGGAGGGTGTGGAGGGGTTGGTCGGGGTGATCAAAGAGAGCCTTGATGGAGCGGGGCAAGGGATGAGGGAATTTGAAGATGGCAACAGAGGTTTTGGAGAGGAGGTTGAAAATGTGAGGAAATTACTATATGGTGACGGTTTGAAGGGAGGTAGCGGTCTGGTGGGTAGTGCAAGTCAAGGGCGTGTAGTGCAGGGTCAGGAAGGGTCGCCCGTACCACAGATACTTCACGAGATGGAAGATCGCGCAAGGGAAATGGCGGCAGGTTTGGAGAGTCTTGTGAGCCATTATGATCTTTGCGTTACGGCTATCAAGCAAACGGAAGGAGGGGGCGATGCTGCTTCGAAGATTGCCGGGGATCTGCCTGAAGGGGTGGATGTTGGGCAGGACGCTGGAGGTGCACCACCTGAGCCTATGGGTGATCAGGAGAGAATGGAGATGATGAGAGTGCTTGAGGAAGATGCAGGACAGGTGGAGGATGTGGTGATGGAGATTCGAGATCATATCGCCGAGATGGAGAGTCTGCATTCGCGCGTGGAGATGCATACCAGCCATCTTGCAACGGAGCACGTGAATATGACTGCTGCCTTTAGGATGCTTGAAGACTTGGGCCAAAAATTACCGGGACATATCACGAGGACTCAAATTTTCTTGATGCGCTGGGATGAAGACAAAGTGGCAATCGACGAGCGCTTGGAGGAGCTTGAAGGTTTGACGGAACTTTACGATGGCTTTCTGAGAGCTTATGATAATCTGCTGATAGAAATCGGAAGGAGGAAAGATCAAGAGCTAGAGGTTGAGCAGGTCGTCCAGGAAGCCAGAACTCGACTTGAAAAGCTTTACGAAGACGAGGTGGAAGAGCGTGAGGTTTTTAAGAAGGAGCAGGGCGATTTCCTTCCTGTTGATATCTGGCCGGGTCTCAGGGATAGGCCACTGCGGTATTCGTTATCTTCTGTTGATGATCAGGCGTCGCGGGTACCGGACATCTCAAAGTCTGTGATCTATCGAGCCATACAACGCGTACACGGCAAGCGGTGAAGCTTCCAGTAGTCATTTCGGGACAGATTGGTCCCAATTTTGGGACCTGGGGGTCGTCTGCATAGCGAATCGTTAGCGGATTGCATTATAGGCCGGTAGCAGAGCGATCGGAAACAAAAGGATTCTCAGTGCTCTCTTTTCTCTGCATCGAGGCCATTGAAGGTCTCAATCCCTGATTTCACCAGGCAAATGATGCTCCTGTGCAACCAAGGAACGCTGCATCTGCAGGTGGAGGGAATAAGTTCAAGTGTGGTGTGGTTCGTCATTGAAACAGCCGCGATCGAGAACCGTTCTCTCCGTACCTTGGAATTGCCTTGAGAGCCACAATCCTGGCCCGAGATGTCTCGTATATCTCGATCCCCTCGAAACTCAATGCTTGCGTCGCGTGGAACCGCTGATCATTTGCTTCTTGATTTTCTTCGGAATTTTCTTCTCTCGCTGTTCCTTTTTCTCCTCCTTCACTTGCTTTTTGTGGTCCTTCTTAGCATCTTTGTCCTCGAAGCGTTTCCCACGAGGTGCTTTCTTCGCGAAGGGGTCAACATCGTTGTCACCCTCACCCTCACGCCCACTCTCACAGTCAGGGGAATCTTGGGTGTCATGCTCCAGAGCATTGGCAGATTCTCTTTCACCCGCCACTGGCACCTCGGGTGCTAGCTTTTCTGCCAGTAAATCACGGTAGACAAGATTGTCCTGACCACCCTTCGCAACCTCTCCCACGTCTCTTTCGACATCATACACCTGCTCGAGCGTCTGTGGAATGTATTGATTGCGGAAGACTTCGGTATCAACTTCTGCAGTTGCGTTATCCTCCTCAACCTCTTCGAGCCTATTTTCGAATAGCGTTTGCAGTGTGGTGGCCAACTCCTCTGGGCCCTTACCACCTTGGGCAGCAGTGACAAACTCAAAGGTGGTCTTCTCCGAAAGCACATCGACACCCTTTCGGCGGAAGAAATCGCTGACATTCTTGATATCCATTCGCAGAAATTCAAGACTCCGAGGATGATCATGCTCGACGCTCTGGCTTACATCGATAAGCCACAGCTTGTCGTTGTGATACAGAATATTGTATTCGCTCAAGTCAGCGTGAACCAATCTGCAGTTTTGATACAGGATACGCATGTATCCTAATAGTTGCAGGTATAGCAACTTCCACCTTGCTTCAACGTCGCTGCCTATCAGCTCGACATCTTTCAGCCTGGGCGCAGGAATACCTTTCTTATCACCCAGAAATCCCATGACGAGGACATGAAGACGTAGATGAACTGGCTCTGGACACGGTATGCCTGAAGCATATATCCTTTTCAGATTCCTCATCTCCTTCTCTGCCCAGACCTTGACCATGGCTCGATTGTTGCTCTTGCTGTAGCCTTGTCTGAATCTATATTCTCCCGTGACATATTTATCACGATCTTTGAAAATCAGTATGCTAGTCTTGTACACTTTGATTGCTCGGTGCAGTGGAGCAACAGCGGCCTCCGAACCATCTCCCTGCGATGTGGAAAGAGCATGGTAGACATTGGCTTCCTTGCCGGTGGACAAGCATCCGTTGACTTCAGACACAACATTACGATTGATCATCTGGAGTAGTATCATGCGAGTACGCGGATCCAACACTTGCTCACTAGTTGCACGATCACTCTTGTCTGCGACCCTGTCATGTTTGACCCCAAGACCGGATTGCCGGTCGTCCAACTTCAACTTTCCCGCATGCCTGGAGAGTGATGTGACCTGGTCGTCTATAGCCGCAAGCGTATTAGCAGTGGGCTTCTGAGGGTTAGCTTTGGGAAGGTTCGTTCTGGAGGCATTTGGATCCGATGAGACTTCCTGAAGCCGGCGCTGTCTGTTGTAGGTCTTTGTGTAATCTGATGGGTTGTATGATGCGTAGTCCTCGTCATCCAAGTCTTCGCCCGCAAATATGTCCTCGTAGTCCTCATCCAGGTCTTCTTGATTCTCGTCTTTCTCTGTTGCAGTACCCAGCTGCGCTGTTGCAATGGTGCTGTTTGCATAACCGTGGCCGGGTATGAACGTGTGTGTTGGCTGTTGACCTCCAGCAAGATCTTCGGGCTTCGACATCAGGTCAGTCCCCTAGCTACTACCACAGAAAGAGTTTTTGGGATCTTCGACGCACAAAATTACCAACGAGTCAGGCAATCTTAGCGCGGCCGACGTTTCCCCGGCAGTAAATTGAGTCGCGTCTGCGCGTGGTTCAAAACTTCGACTGCGACATCTCTCCCATTTCTATTTCAAGTCAACCCTCTACCGATTTCATGATAGACAGAGCATAGCATGGCGTCCCGATAAGCGCCAATCTCTCCCAAATCTGAGCGCCTTCGCGCACACGCGAATTAATCCAGCAAGACCTGCGATACCTCTCCCGCGCAGATACTCAAGATGTACATCAAACAGATAATCATACAAGGCTTCAAAAGGTACATTCGCGCTGCATTGGCGTCAGATTCTTCGCATGCTAACATCAAAGGTAGCTATAAAGAGCAGACAGTTATTGAGCCCTTCTCTCCAAAGCACAATGTGATCGTTGGACGCAATGGCTCTGGGAAGAGCAATTTCTTCGCCGCTATCCGGTTTGTCCTCAGCGATGCCTACACGCAAATGGGCCGCGAGGAGCGGAATGCGCTACTTCATGTATGAGACGTTGATAACCCCAACACAAGGATGCAACCCTGACAGCGCTCTTAGGAAGGGACAGGCGCAGCGGTCATGTCTGCTTTCGTGGAAATCATATTCGACAATAGTGACGACCGCTTTCCAACAGGCAAACCGGAGCTCATTCTACGACGGACAATTGGGATGAAGAAGGACGAGTACTCTCTAGATCGGAAGAACGCTACCAAGTCGGATGTCATGAACCTACTGGAATCTGCAGGCTTTTCGCGCTCGAACCCATACTATATTGTTCCGCAAGGACGTGTCACTGCATTGACAAATATGAAGGATAATGAGAGGCTGAACCTGCTGAAAGAAGTGGCTGGTACACAGGTCTACGAAGCTAGGAGGACAGAGTCTTTGAAAATCATGAACGAGACGAACAACAAGAGGGAAAAAATTGATGAGCTATTGGTATACATCAAAGAACGATTGACCGAATTAGAGGAAGAGAAGGAAGAGTTGCGAGATTTCCAGGAGAAGGACAAAGACCGCCGATGTCTCCAATACACTATCGACCATCGAGAACAAGTCGCAATTGCCAACGAGCTAGACAACCTTGATGACCAGAGGCAGGGTGGCGTTGATGACACGGAAGAGAGCTCGGAACGCTTCATTCAAGGCGAAAAGGAACTCACTGAGATCAACGCACAGATCAGCGAGCTGAAACAACAGGTTGAGTTCCTCAAAGTGGACAAAAGGCAGCTCGAAGATGAGCGCAAGGAAAATGCCCGAGCCAGGGCGAAAATCGAGCTGGAAGTCAAAAGCCTTAGCGATGGCCAGTCTGCGGCTCAACAAGCAAGATCGCACTACGAATCGGAATTAGACAAGGTTCAGACCTCAATTAGAGAACACGAAGAAGAACTGGCACAGGTTACGCCTGAGTACCTTGAGAAGCTGCAGCAAGAGGGGACCATCAAATCCGAACTCAGCAGCGCAGAAGACACTCGTTCAGGATTATATGCCAAACAAGGTCGAAATTCTCAGTTCCGAAATAGAAAGGAGCGAGACGAGTGGCTGAGAGAGGCGATCAACAGCAGCTATACCGACTTATCGAAGGTTAAGGCTGTTCGAGTACAGACAGCTGAGGACATAACAGAGTTGGAGAATGACATTGCGAATGCCAAGGCCGAAATCACGGAGTTGCGAGAGCAGATGGATAGCCGTGGAGACAACAGCGAGGCGATACAGAAAGATATCCACAAGGCTAAGGCACTACGGGACAAGCTTATGGATGAGCGCAAGTAGGTGGTGGAAATTGGATCACTTCGGACAAGGCTGATTTGTTAAACAGGGAGCTTTGGAGAGACGATGCAAAGCTGGATTCTGTCATGCAAAATGCGCAGAAAGAACTTCGGCATTCAGAACAGGAACTTTCTTCAACCATGGACCAGAATACTAGTCGTGGCCTGGCAGCTGTCCGGCGAATAAAACGTCAACATAACCTTCATGGTGCTTTCGGCACCCTAGCTGAACTGATGGAAGTTAACGAACGCTACCGAAGAGCCGTTGAGGTCACAGCTGGCGCCAGTCTCTTCCATTATGTCGTGGACAACGACGACACAGCTTCTAAGATCATCGAGATCTTGCAAAAGGAGAGATCGGGCCGTATCACCTTCATACCTCTGAATCGAGTGAGGCCGAAGAGCTCAAACGTGCCAAAGGCCAATGATGCCATTCCGATGATCGAGAAGATCCAATTCGATCCAATGTATGAGAAAGCTTTTCAGCAAGTGTTCGGTCAAACCATCATTTGCCCGACTCTGACCATTGCGGGACAGTACGCCAGAAGCCACAATGTCAATGGTGTTACGATGGATGGCGACCGATCAGACAGGAAGGGTGCTTTCACCGGTGGATCTCTCGACAATCGATCTTCACGTCTTCAGGCTGTCCGAAACGCGTCGAAATGGCGAGACGAGTGCGATACTCATAGAGCTAGGTCTGTTGAGATCAAGCGGACGTTGGAACGCAAAGATCAAGAGATTACTCAAGCGGTGGGCAATCTCCAGAAGATCGAGCAGAAGAAGGTGCAACAAGAGAATAGCTACGGCCCGTTGAGGCAGGAGCTAAGAAACAAGGAGGCCAGCGTCGACAACAAGAGAGATACTCTCGACAAGAAGCAGCGAGCAAAGTCAGGAATCGAAGCGAGTTTCAAGCGTCTAACAGATCAGCAGAACGCACACGAAGCTGAAATCGCGTCTCCGTTCAAGAAAGATTTGACAAGTGACGAGGAAACACAGTTGGAGAACCTGAGCTCCAATGCCATAGACCTTCGACGGCAGCTCTCCGAATTGACTTCAAGCCGTAGCGAGCTTGAGTCAAGGAAAACTATTCTTGAAATCGAACTCCGAGAAAATCTCCGTCCGCGCCTCGACCAGCTCAAATCCCAGGAATTTGACAGCCAAGACAGCGGCAGCCGAGGCAATCTCAAACAAAGCCAACAAGAGCTCAAACGTATCAACAAGTCTGTAGAAGAGGTCGAGCGAAAGCTGCAAGAGACTAACACCTCGATCGAATCCGCCAACTCTAACATATCGGACCTTGATCAGCGTCACGCCGAGATCATGCATGCCCAATCCGAAATCGCCAAATCTATGGAAAAAGCGCAGAAGCGTATGGAGAAATCCATCCAAAAGCGCCGCATCCTCACGAAGCAAGCTGCCGAAGTAGCGACCAAGATCCGCGACTTGGGCATCCTGCCACAGGGGCTCGAGAAGTATGAGAAAATCAAGAGCGATGCGATCGTCAAGCGCCTTCACAAGGTCAACGAAGCATTGAAGAAGTACGGGCATGTGAACAAGAAGGCTTTTGAGCAATACAACAACTTTACGAATCAGCGAGAGACCTTGGAGAAGAGAAGTGGAGAGTTGATCGAAGGCCAGGCGAGCATTGAAGAATTGATCACGGTGCTGGATCAGCGGAAGGATGAAGCCATCGAGCGGACCTTCAAGCAAGTTTCCAAGGAGTTTGCGAACGTGTTCGAGAAGCTCGTCCCGGCCGGCAGAGGACGACTCGTCATACAACGGAAAGCGGACAAGCCGCAAGCCGGGGAGGAGGAGTCGGACGATGAGAGGAGGGAGAGCGTGGAGAATTATACCGGCGTCGGTATCAGCGTGAGCTTCAACAGCAAGCACGATGACCAACAACGCATCCAGCAGCTCAGCGGTGGGCAGAAGAGTAAGCCGATCTTCCTCCCTTGTTTCTCCCATCCATCATTCCCCTCCCCCCAACCCGACTCAAACGTGTGGACATCTGACCGACCGTGCAACCCCCCAGGCCTCTGCGCCCTCGCCCTCGTCTTCGCGATCCAGCAGTGCGACCCGGCCCCCTTCTACCTCTTTGACGAAATCGACGCCAACCTCGACGCCCAGTACCGCACCGCCGTCGCCAACATGCTGCGGTCCATCGCCGACAAGTCCGGCGAGGCCGGCGGCGGCCAGTTCATCTGCACCACCTTCCGGCCCGAGATGCTGCTGGTGGCGGAGAAGTGCTACGGGGTGCGCTACCTGGGCAACAAGAGCAGTAGCGTCGTGGTGGTGGGGAAGGATGAGGCGTTGAAGTTTGTGGAGGGGGAGAAGCAGTAGGGTTTGTGAGGAGGGGGTGCTTTTGTCTGCGGGGATGGTCAGGGGTTCGCGAGGTGGGAGGTGTCGGTACGGTTCTCACCATCCGCAAGGCGTTTGGCTTCTCCGGCCGTGGGGCAGGCCGGATGATGAGGGCGTCCGCCGGCGCTGAGAGCGTGGGTCGTTTCTTTATCATGCATACCTACTTCGTGCCTCATCATCCATACCCGGAGCGTTCGCTCCGATCAGCTACCTACTCTGTCTGCCATGTAGCTACGGAGATTAGCTACCTACTCTCTCTGCCATATAGCTATGTACGGATGAAACCGATCTATTCCACAAAAATGCGTACCACGCGTCCAGATCGCAGCTCGAACCCGAAGGCGAAAAGAAAATAGAAAGGTGCGACATCCCCACCGGGTCAATGCTGAGAGTAGTGTCAATTCACGCAGGGAAAAGGCGCGCATGATGATGCGGGTTTCTACCTATTGTTTAAAAACATGTAAAAGGGCCGTTACGTCCCCCTGCCGAAAGGACCTGCACGCAACTGTCTGATTCGACGACTCGAGCAGGGTTCCCATCATGGCTGGACATCATGTCTGGCCGTCTACGATAGGTAGGCATACTGTACCGTACCGTGATATATCTGACGAGGCGGACTGCAAGTGCAGGAATTGGCCCTGCGTCTTTGCCTTTAAGAGCAGATGGAGGGGTCCTCAACATGCTGAACAGTGTGGGTGTAGTGTGGACCGGTCCAGATGGTTTGTATTGGTCAATGAGTATAGGTACATAGATGGATATTTGAGAGGTCGATGGCAAGAGACCCACGGTATCATCGACGACCAGGTATCAGCAAAAGGCTCTACTTTTACAAAAGTTGGTCACGATCACGCCTCAATATCAATCAAAGATAGAGGCAGGATCTTGAAGAGCTGCTAGATTTCGATCATACATATTGATGTATTACTGTTATTGTGAAAGGTCTAGTGAGTGAGGCTTCCAAATGGGTTTCCCCTTGGTAGGAATAAGGTTGTCGAAAAGCTAGGGAAACAGCTTCCGACATCGCTGACTTCCCGACCCTCTCCGGTCGGTGCCGGTTCGTGGGCAGAACTGCCCCCTACTTGTAGGAAGTCTTGAAGCAGGCGAAGACGTCTCGGGTGTGATTTCCTCGAGCGGCTCAGAGTGACAGGGGGTTGAAGCTTTGAAGCACAAATGAGATGATCGATTACCAACTTTAGAGACCCCTCGGACATTTAGTGCCTCTCTTGCCCCTTATCAACAAGTGAAGGGCATTTTGCTAGGGCAATTAGTTACCCCAGGTTTTCAATAATGTTGATACTTCGATCGGGATCGATATATTTCATTAGCGGAGACTTTTCTTCCTCCCGCGTCTTCCAGGAAATACCAGGGTGAAGTTAATTGTCTCAAACAGTTTGGAAGCGAAGTCGGCGGTGGCAGTGGAGGGATGGCCAGCATGTTGGTAAGGGGAACTGTGGCTGTACCTATGCTCGGGCCTCTCAGACTTCCCCGTGGATACTCTAGTGAGTGATCCTTCAGGCCTGGACGTGTGTTTATGATATCGTGTCAGGCTGACCTGAATTGAAGGGTCCCTCTGTGCTGGTGTATGCCTCTTCATGAGCACGCATAAAGTAACTTCTTGCCTCATGTCGAGCCTATCTTCGGAGCTAAGCGTGGATTCAGGCTTTTTGACTTTGAGGCTCTTTAGGCGAGTTTTTCGTGTCAAACTTTCGCTTGCTAGCGCAACAGATGGCCTGCAGCTTGCCGCCCCAATTCGAGACCAGGGTCCATGATGGTGGGGCAGATAAGCGGGGTGGGGCGAAAGAAAAAAGATTTCGTTGGGAGCTTTGCTTTTCGCGCATCTTGACTCCATTTTGGAATCTCTGCTTCATCTTGACTTCGAGAGCAGGAGAGAGGTCAATCAATACTGCTGCTGAATCTTGAAAGTCCAAATCTTGCTCAGCTGTAGGGCCTAAAGCCCACGGCCGCGGGCGTATCCTTTGGTCGTCAGCATTCCCAAACTACCTACACATTCGAGAATTCTCGGACAAAATCATTGCTCGACACGAATTTCGAAGCCTTAGTCCGTGGTGGCAACAAACCCTGAGCACCCGAATGTTGGATCTATAATCGTGGCCGAAGCTGCGGGCCCCTGAAGCAATAGTAGACATGAAAACCGTCAGCTTGGACCCTTGACATGGATCATAGACTCATGTTCAATATTCTGTTCCAGACGCTCAAGCCCAAGGTAATCGGACCGTTCCCCACAGCCAAGCATAGCTCGAGTCCAGAAGGAGGAAGCTATCCCCGCAAGAATGTGGATAGCCCTTGTTGTCTTGAAATAGAAAAAACTGTGAAACCATTGACCAGGATTCGGAAGCATCCAATTGATCTCCGACTAGTTGTGGAGAATGGTAGAAGTAGACTGGTGGTACCGATGCTTTAATTCAAGAGGCAGAGATCCATGATGCTTACTGTTTTAATGTGGAGACGAAGACGGTTACTACCTCTATCGAGGCACGGGTGCACCGTTCAAAGCGAAACGCTTAGCGTGGTGAAAGGAATTGCGTAAGATGTTATGCTTAAGCTCCTGTCAATTGTCATGCCCTTTGCCACGATGTGGTTGGCCGGAAAGCTTTGGGAAGAGGATAGGCCAGCGTTTGAAAGGGCGCAGGAGAAGCTTGCATTATCAATTGCTGCAAGGAAATAAGAGGAAATAAGAGCAAAGTGGCGGCGGATCGCTTCCAGATTATTGGACAAGAGGAAGAAATGCCTAGCCGATGATCAGCACGTTGATACGCAACCACGCTAACAAAAGATTCTGATGGTGATAGCAAACCTGGGCCCCACCGGGACGCTCAAAACAAAGTCGTCCTCATCCAGACCCTCTTGAACTGATCGACAAAGTCCGCCCGTTCGCATCGTACGAGGTACATAAGTACCTACCTAGTTATCGGCGGAGGCATGCACGGCGTGGGGTTTGATCTCTGTATGTGTTGTAGAGTACCTAGCTAAAAGGTGTTGAGTTGGAAATTGTCAAGTGAAGATATATTATTGCGGCCTAGAAGCGCCATAGAGGTTTGAATGCAGGCACGCTGCATTCACGATGGTGTGGTGTGAGCGTGTGAGGATGGCATGAAAGATGGCGTGAAGGTCGCGTTTGTCTGACTCTGGGTGGAAGTTGAGAAGGTTGTGATCAGCGACGCTTTTTCATTGGCCTTTTGCTAGTTCCAAACTTTCCAAATCTAGCGGAAAAGTACTCAGCAAATTTCCCATGCGCCGCCATCGGAATCCTAGTCATCCTACTTTATCTATCCCGTTCAATAATTATGTTTTTCTTCTTTGTTTACTGCTACTCCTTCACCTACACCTTTCCTCCTCCAACTCCTCCTACAACACCATCATACGTTGTCTGAGTCTTCTCGGGAATTTGATCTTTGCGGAGTGTTGAGAGAGAGCATTGCATGACACAATTCCTTTGTTCTTTTCCCTCCGGATAGCCCCACCGAAATCAATTCCGAGCGATCGGTTAGGAAGAGAGGCTTGTGCTTTGAAACGCGACAGACACCTGCAGGCAGTGTAGTCCATAAGTTCATTTACTTGGAGTCGCCCTCAAAACAGTGGATTGCTCCACCGGCCAGTGGCATTGTTCTTTTCCCTGGCTTTAACCGCCGCATCCGGTGAAGCCCTTCACTTTCACCGGGCCACTTCCTTGTATGTCCCACTCTGACCCAAACATTCTCCTACAGCAGAGAATAACACCAATGATCCTATGTAAATCATGTTATAGCCTCCTCTTCTTGCTTTGGCTGATCAAAAGATTCCGAGCAGATCTTTACCACGCCACTTTATCCAACGATTCCCATGACTCCCATGAGTTAATACTTCCGTTTGACGACCTACCTGATGTACATATTATCTTTACATTCTACCATCATATCATCCAACAAACCTCCTTGTCGAAAGGATGCCGTACACACCACCAACCAAATCTCCTGTCGCCTCAAGACCTCAAACTCCACATCTGAGCCGTTCCCACTCATACAACAAAAGCCAACCCCACGATACATCCGCCTCAAGCCATGCCTCGAGAAATGAATTGCCGCACTCGACATCATCCAGAGCCTACCTAAACAAACACCGCCGAAGTCCCTCAATCGCCAAGCAGTCTGAACTGCCAACTCCTGATGCTACTCCACAAGAGAATATAAGCTCAGATAGCGAGGATCAAAAGAGCGAGGAAACCTTGGCTACGAAGAGTCGCCTTTCTCCTACGGTTGGCCCAGCGGTTTCATTAGAGCCTGCTCTACCCGTCTCACCCCAGACCTCCAGCGATGACGAGACCGCGACAGAGCGGGGTAGGGCCAGAGACATAGTGGATTTGGCTGAGCTGCAGGCGGCTATCAGAATAATTGAACAACATCGAGCGGGTTCTCCCGACACGCACGCAAGCGAAGCTACAAAGAGAGCAAGATTGACCCTTGGTCTTCCGTCGCATCAGATAGACCCGTCGAACAAAGACAACACATCAAAGCCTGTGCTCTCGCCTCGGTTGCGCCTGTCAGCTGAAGCCCGCAAGATTTCACACTCGAGGTCGACTACTGATGCAAGCGCGTTCTTCGACTTCCCTCGGAATAAATTTGACTCGCCCGCACGAAGTACATCTGAGAGTGACGGAGAGGATGTTGAAGATGATGAACTACGAATAAAGCCGTCTCTGATTCGCAAAAAATCGGGCGAGCTTGTAAGGCCGGCCTTAAGGGCATCGTCTACGAGGAGAAGACCGTCAAGCATGCCCGGAACACCAACATACTCAAAAGCTGTACATTTCCAAGACAGCAGCCTAGAACACGTTCGTCATTTCCTACAGGTAGATCGACCAATTGCTGTCAGTGCTGGGTCGTCACCTGTCGATCCCTATGATGAAGAAAACGAATTTCCATTTGGCGACGATGAATCCAGTCCACCGTCGCCTCCATTCGAATGGGAAATCCGAATGACCAATTTTCCTCAAGTCAGTCTTGAGCGAGGCGCTTTGCCAGTCCGGACTGAGCGGGTATACCTATCACCCGATACTAAGATTCTGAAAGGAGATGTGGTAGTGCGTAATCTCGCTTTCCACAAGCTGGTCATTGCGCGCTTCACTCTTGACTACTGGAAGACGACATCGGAAGTTGTGGCAGAGTACAGCAATGACGTGCGCAAAAAGCAAGCAGCTCATGACTGTGATCTGTTTACTTTCCGTATCAAGCTCGAAGACCAGGCAAACCTCGAGAACAAGACTATGTTATTCTGTGTGAGGTACAGCGTGAATGGCCAGAATTACTGGGACAACAACAACTCCGTTAACTATCAGGTGGATTTCTCGAAGAGAGCTAAGCCTCAGAATGGCAAGCAAGGCGCGCAAGCGAAGAGCTCTCACCCGCTCAATGCTCTACCTCGTAGCAGACCATCGGCAAACTTCTCTTCGCCAAGGCCTCGCAGCATGCCATCTTTCGATGACTTTGCTGGTAGCGTAAATCCATACGAATTCTCTTCGTTACTTCAGCCGTCTGCGCTTGTTGGTGACTCTCCCATACGGTTCAAGAACAAACCGTCTGCGAGAGGAATTGTCCCGGATGCGCCAGGACGTCCAAAAGCCTCGACCAATCAACAAGCTTTCGGGAATCGGTATGATTTTGGTGCTTCATTGTCTGCAGCAATCCAGGCTGCTGGTACTTCTATTGGTGACAAAGGGGAAGTGCCATCGAAGCCACCGTCTGACAAACACACCGAAATGCCTCCGGTGGTCAAGGTCCAGCCGTCTCCGGACGCCGGGAAAGCCGTCAATAGCAGCGAAGCCGGCCAGCAAAAGGTCGCAGATCTCCCAAAGCCTGTTGCTTTGACCGCTGAGAAGCCATCGCTACAGTCACAGTCTTACCACGAGCTCCTCGACAAATACTGCTTCGTACGTTCTGGACCTAACAAAGAGAACAAGGGCATCTTGAGCTAATATATACTGCAGTTTGGATCTGCGAAGCCATCCGCTCAGCCTGCCAAGCCTGGACCAGCTCAGGTCGATGGTGCCCCTGATGACCTACCAGAGCCTCAGAACGAGTCTGGCAAGCTTTCGGGATCAGCTAGTCCCTCGCCCCCTGGAAGTCGTTCGCCACCTGTGGCGGATAGAAAGTCATCGAAGATCTCAAGCCCCCAGGCTTCAAGATCATCATCTCCTGCGACCGGGTCCGCTGTTGGTTCGAGGACCGCTTCACCTCCATCATTCAGATATCCGTTTCATCAGACAATGCAAAATGGACTGTTTGAGACGCATGCACCCACTGCGATTCGTGGGTGAACTTTATCTGGTCAAAGTGCCATAGAATACAAAGCCAGCAAGCGCACTAGCTAGGCCAGAATTGGACGGAGGAGACATTTGTTCCCAGTCAACACATTCGATTGCTATTGCAATCAACAACCCGAGAAAGCTTCGGCGGCTATTGACGGCCGGTGCGAAGCAATTTCGAAATATTACGGATACGCAGTCTGAGCTTCTTACGAACATGAGAACGAGTATGAGTCTTGTACTTCGAGCGTGCTTTCTTCATGCGTGTCGTACGGCGTCATCCGGTTGGGAGGGATTTCTACTCATAGACCAATTCTACTGCTTGCGGACTGCTTCTTTTTGGGCGCCAAGTCATTATGGGTGGAAAATTGTGCATTTTTCAAGCGGCGGCGTTGGTCTCATTCCCAAAGTCCTCTCTTTGGATGCATTGGGGGCGGTGGCGGAGAGAAATTAGACGAGAAATGTCAGTACAGGCTTGTTTGTTGATGTGGATTCGACTCAACCTATTCCAAAATCAGACATGTCCATCATCACTTATGAAGCCAACCATTCTGACCAATGATATATGCATGACTCATCATTTCTGGCCACTTTATATCATGCCAGGAAGACGGAAGGCTGTCTGGGTCATGGTCGCGCGACCGAAGGAGGGACGGCGCCGCTGCTTGATTCCCTGCCTACGGGATAACATCGTGGTCGGACGCAACAGTAGCGACGGTAGACATGTTGATATCCACCCGATCCTCTTTCGAGTATACTAACCGTCTCCGCCATCCCCAATACCCTTCGATCGTTCGCTCTCCCTACTCTCTCGCCCTTCCTCTCTTCCCTCCCTGCTCAGACCGCCTGCCCGCTACCTTTCCCCCACATCGCTGTCTCCAACGTGCGCCTCCATTTCCCGTCTCGTGACTCTGCGCTCGGGCTTGCATTGGGCTCTTTTTGACCCGATGTTGCGAGGTGTGACGAGAACCCAGCGAACCTGCTGATTGATGTATTGATGTCTCCGTGTTGCCTGCTTTGCAGTTGGTCATGTGTCCAGCGTAGAGGAGTGAGGCTTGATGTGATGCTTTGAGTTCTGTGGACGATGTGCGTCCCGACGCGGCATTAGGCTCCGCTTGGAAGGGATCTCGCATATCATGTTCTCGTCCATTCTGGCGCCCTGATGAGAGCGCGCTGGTTGCCTTTTAGTCGGGGAGGCTTCGGGTCGGTCTCGGCCATTGGGGACATGGAGGTGGATCCGATCGTGGAAGCGGAGTCTGCGATAACGGAGGTTTGAGCAGCGTTATGTAGATTACTTTTCGTTACACGAAGCAAGAAACAGAAGATGAGGAGGATCGCAATGAGGGAACGTGATCTTTCACGGTTCAATATACTGCATTCCCAACTTCGAAGGTTCTGTAGAAACCTGGGGATGGCCTGCCGTCATGGGGCATTTGCTTCAGTGAGGCAACAGGTGGTGAGGAATCACGGACATTTGCCTGCCTCCGATACCGACAGTCGTGATCGATTGGGTACGAGATGATGATGCGCACCTATGCGCGGACGGCTCCTGATCGCGAGTTCTGCTGGCAGCCGAGCCGCTTAGACAGTGCCAGCACCTCAAGGTTGGAGGAAGCGTGGACACCGAAGGAATCGTAAATACCGGCCGAACCAGGACTGACTTTACACAACCTTCATCTCAAAAATGACCGCACTCGCTACCGACTTTCCTTTTGCGAAAGATCTCAAAGACCTTCATCTCGTGTATGACTACAATGCCCACGACGCGCAGGGCAAGCCTGAAAAGTGGCGCTATGAGATCTGGTTCTTCAGCGAAGTAAGTCTCCGCCTTGGATCCGGTTGCTAGAGAGTTGCGGGACACTGAGTGATCTTCACCTTCCATCGCAGGATCGCGTCGTCTACAAGATCCACGGTGGTCCGATGGCCGGCCGAGCCAACTTCCAGACATGTAGCTTTCAATGCATCAGACCAGGCGAGCTGTGGCAGTGCAACTGGCTCGAAGGTACGCATTCCGCCTCCGAGGGATCAGCAATGGTCGCCATAGCGACTGACGGGAGCCATCCCGGCAGAGACGGGGACTGTCGTCTCACTCGTCTACGACATTGTCAAGAAACGGATAACGACGCTTCTCGCTTTCTCAAAAGGTACTGTTATTGCGGGGGGCACTCTCCCTTTTGACCCAGGCGAACAGATCGCTGACGGGGGCGATTGCAAGGCCACTGGGAAAATGCGGAAGCGGCACACGGGGATAAAAGGAACCCGGCGGATCTCGAGAGGTGGCGCGGTCTGGCGCGCATTGGCATTCAGACGGACAGGCATATGCTCCCGGAACAGGCTGATCTTGTGGATATCTTCAGGGGCAAGGGTGAGTTGGAGCCGATCGAACACTCGTGGCCTACTTTGTAGGAAATGTCAACGTTCTGCACAACCCTTTCCCGAACTTCCTCTCTGAGATTAGATATAAGTAAAGAGGCTTCACCGTTCTTGTTTCCCTAAGATGACAGGGTGCTTGTTCAAGTGATTGTTGACTGGAGCGAAGCATCATGCTACAGTAGTACAGTTGGGACTCCAACTAGCTAGAGTCACCCTAAAAGCGGCGATTTTGGGTGGGATATTTTGGCCTTTTCCTCCACTTCTTCGGGTGCCAAGAGTAATGCCGACGGGACAATCACATCAAAATTAGGTCCTCAACGACGTCCCCCTTCCTTCCCATCATTAAAAGCCCTCCAAATGTTCCCCCGCCTCCGCACCCCCATCCTCCAAAACACCGGCTCCACGGCGCGCGACCACCTCGCTTCCGAACGGACCTTCCTCGCCTGGCTCCGCACCGGTCTCGGCTTCGTAGCCCTGGGCATCGCAATCGAGAGATTCGGCCAGCTCGACCCCGTCCCCACCCCGGCAGCCAAGGGCAAGGGTGGGCATCCCAAGAAGGACAAGGGCGAGGACCTCGTGCGGGGACTGTTGGCGACGGGGACCGGGAGCATCGCGTACGGCACGGCGAGATACTTTTCCAACATGAGGATGCTGGAGAAGGGATCGTACAAGCCGAGTCTGTACGGCGCGGGCGCGTTGAGCCTGGCCGTGGTCGGGTTGACGGGGGCGGCGTGTTGGGAGATTGTGAGGGGGAAGCGGGAGGAGGGGGAGGATTGATGGTTGGGATGTTCCTTCCGACCAATACGACGTTACGGACAATCCTCACACGGACGGGGCTTCATTCCGTCCGTCATGTCACATTTTTACTCACGGCGACGGGGTTATAATGATATCAATACGAAAGATACCACCTGGCGTATCAGACGTTATGGGCACCTGCCAGGCGTGAGGTGTAAGCGCATTCGAAATCTGCATGGGAACAGGCACGTCTACGAAGCCGTGTTCCCCAGAGGCAGTACGATACGTGTCGGCGAACGATGACTGGAAATTCCATGGCCATTTGGCTTTCGCCAACTGGTCGACAGTCCATCTATGCTTATGGATACAAGACTCTGTCAGCGTGAACCAGGATAATCCCGTGGCAAGGTCGTCTTCTCTTATAGCACGCAAGGTGTCTGTTAATGGAATGGCTTAGGATGGCTTACACCTTCTTACTATGGTGAAGTTGACTTCAACTGCATCAGAGACTGAGTAGCATTGTTCGTGTAGGACCAAGACATCTAGAAGGATGAGTTCGCGTTCAAACGGGACTCGTTCGAATATTACGTATCTTCTTTTGTGACACGTCATCTGTTTGCGCTCGAGGGAGTCTTGAGCTTCGGGTTTCTAGCGTGTGGTCAAGGTGACTTTCCATGTATACCTACCAGACCAAATGCCCGTGCGGCGGACCTGCTTGTTCCACGAGAGATCAATCGCCTTTCTACCATCAGCCTAACAATGTCTATGCCCTTGAACACCGACTGTCGCAGGACTGGGCAAGTCTTGAGTATCCTCTCTTGGGTCGTAATTGCGCTGTGAAGGCAATCGAACAAATTCACGCTCGAATGAATGTTCCAAGCAGCCCTGACGCAACGCCAGAAAGAAGCAGATTGGCAGCATAGTCTTCCGTACTTGAATGGCCTCGACGTCTGACCATTCAGGCAACTTTCATAAAGTCTCAGTTCTCCATTGGCTAGTCCGAACGTTGCGAGGGTGCTGGCGAAGTAGACCGTTACTTTCGCATTCTCTCTTTCTGCTCTCGCGCTGCGGATTGGCCTGTTCCGCCCGGACTGCGAGATTCCTTTGGTGGAGATGTATCCTTTGCATCTGGTGCCAATCACTTCAAACTCCTTACCCCGCAATTGCCACCATCTTTGTGAGTGGGACAATTCCCTTAGACCTCCGATACGACGTCATGGAAGACTATCCAGAGGGCCAAACACTATTGCTGCCAACGTCTGTTTCGCATTACAGCGTCACGGCATGGGAAAAGTTGCCCGATTCTGATCATTCGCCCTTCCCCTCGTCGAACCACATCTCCATCTCCCCTATCTCCTCCTCCCCTTGCCACCGCCCCACCAATTCCTTTCCTTCGATCAAGTTCCTCACATTCTCCCTTACACCAAATACCAAGTTCGGCGCAGAAGGTGTTCCCTTCTTCTTCTCCCTCTCTTTTCTTGGTGTTGTCGGATCGTACACCATATCATTGTCCCCAAACACCGCATGTATCAGCCCCGGATACACTCCCACACACGAGTAATCGATCTCTCCCTTTCTACCGCGCTTGCACAAACCGGCTTGGCCAACGTCGAATGGTCCATCGAAGTGGGAGTAAGAGAGATGGTAGAGCATCTTTTGGGCACCGGTGTAGGAGAGAGCGTAGGCGTATGAACAGACGCCGCCAGCGGGGCGGTATACTACGCGTGTGGTGTGGTTCTAGATTATAATTTTAGGGTCAGTATTACCGATCCGAGAGGGTATGTAGGGCCTCGAGGCATGTCTACAGAATATACCATCTCAAGACATGTCTCAAGGCTCAAGAGTTGGTCCAAAAGTAGAAATATGAACTCGGAAAATACGTACGTGCAGAACGTCGTACGTGAGGATTTCTTCAGGATTCCACAGACCCCAGCGGCGACCAGCCGGGGGCATGGTTGTGTCGTTGGCAATAAAAAAGCGCGCGAGGGGTTTTGAGGGCAGGTCTTGCGCGCAGTGGCCGAGCCAGAGCATATCCCAACCGTCGCCATAAGGGGACAGCGGCTCAGAGGACGCGGGCGCATTGAGAATGTGTCGGCTCCCGAGAGCGAATTGGGTGAGTTGGGTCTTTAAGGAGACGTCCCAGTCAGCGTCGTCTTCGACGATTAGGGCGGACGAGAGGTTATTGTCGAGGATTGAAGCTGCAGCATTCATGTGAGCGCGCCAGCTGCCGGTCCTGCTTGCCAGGTCTTCTTTGTAGAAGCCTGGCCAAGCGACGTGCGGGATTTCCTTGCCGTCGATGCCTGGGACTACGGTGTATGAGATGTTGGTGACGGAAGTGAAAAGGCGGAGGGCATCGAGTTTGTCAGTTCGGCCAGGCATGTTGATCATGTAGATGTCGCCGAAGCCAAGGGTGCTGTTGTAGATTGCCTGGATGCTGTTTGGTGAGAGTACATGGTCTTGGGTGGAGCCCGTGGAAGGAGCTGGGTGATACGATGAAGGGAAAAGGCGTTCACGTTGGAAGTGGAAGCCTAGAGAGAGTATTGCGAAAGCAGCAATGAACAGCAAGGGCTTGAACATGTTTTTGCAATGCTGAGAGATGGCCAAAGACACAGTAGACACAGCATTGACTTCGTGAAAGGGTGGATACCTTCCCAAGTTGTGAGGAAATGCATTTGGAGAAGTGATAATAGCTGCGTGCGAAAAGGTGGAACATGTAATGAATCATACAAGTATCACCATGATTCGGCCGAAAATGCCTCGGTAATAGGAACGAGAAAGACCAATTGGGGAAGGTCATATATAAGGTAGTCGTTCTAGATTGAGATCCTGAACAGCCAAATAACAAGGAACAATAGTCTCCAGGTTTCAGATTGTAGCTGAAGCATACTCGTGAACCTCGTCGATGTTGGTCACTGTTAGTGACTGATTGTTGGTTTTGTCTCTACCCAGCCTCAAGATACCAACACGTGCGGGTTCTCCAGGGTACACACCTGCAACTCGACGACAGGCATCAGAATGTAAAGTTGAGGTCAAGTTTCAACAGGAAGAATGGAAGACTGGAAATTTGTTGGGATGGAGGCTGTCTCGACTCTCGAGGCTGTGTGCTCGTGCCGTCATCTACATTCTTGGCAGGACGGCGCGGCTTGTAATTATATACCCACTACAGAGGTCTCACCGAAAGTCCTGCACCCGCCAAGACTCTTGCGCTCAGACTTCGGATAACGCCCCACCTAAAGGGCTACCTGGACAATGCGTCTGAAGTTCTTCGGAATCGCATCTAGCCCTAGTCAGGTTTCGAGGCTTAATGCCTCTATTAAGCTAAGAGAAGTACCTAAAGTCCCATCCATGCGCTGTGAGAAGATATTTCTAGGCTTCCCCTCTATAGGGCCGCTTTCCGAAAATAGGGTTAGGGCTGCACTAGTGCGGGTGCAGGACTTTCGGTGCAGACCTCTGATCCGTCCCGCCATCACCAATTGAACTCGAAGGGCCAGGCCTTGGCATGCGGATAAACATCGGCGGCTTGGCGTATCAATCGGGCAAATTGGTGGCAGTACGATGAGTTTAGCGACTACCCTTGGGATGAATAAAAAGCACGTCTTTGATGAGGAGGACCGACTTCAACCCTATTAAATGATCGAACCTAATACGAGACTATAAAATTGAAAATACCTCCGCCAAAACACCTCAGTTTTTCTTTAAAGGTTTATTAATTATTGCTGGCTGTCAGAAATTCAGAATAAAAGTGGCAGTTTTGCCGAGGTCGGCCCACCAGGGAAAACTGCCACTTATTCTGACAGCCAGCCTGCACCAGCGAGGGATCCATCTCAGATTACAACTGCTTACTCAATGATTGTTAGTGGGGACCCAAAATAATCAGGCTTGCTTCATTAGTGAAGAAAGGCATCAATCAGACCCCAAGAGACAGAGTGGAATCCTAGAGGATAGTCGGCTCTTTAACGATCGACTTCCTAAATGGATATACGATGGCCTGGGAGAATCGAGTCTTTCCCATCTAAAAAATCAGAGTAAAAGGGTCCGTACAATACATATCGACGCTTGCGTTGGCATCGCAACGTTATGCCGCCCTTTGTCCCTATTGTCTACACGCACAACAGCTGTAGTACTCATTGCGAGACCCAAGCCAGAATCCAGATATGCGTAAAAACCCTGGGCGGAATCTGGACGAGACATCTCGGTGACTTTGTGGAGACTGGGAGCAAGCAAGGTAGGGATAGCCTGTACCACCAAACGTCTTGAACCTTTGTGTATCTACTGGATACGTGATTCGAAGACTCAATGAGAAGAGCGAATTTTTGATTGCTGTGGCTTGATGAAGAGAGGTCTTAAATCCACAAATCCGGGGTGAGTTTTGGGGGATACCCTCCCAAAAACCCACCCCGGGCTTACCCACGCCCCGTTACGCGGCGCAGGGCTTACAGAATTCAAGCAGATTTTCCACAACTTCTTGAAGCTCTAGTAACCTTGTTTTACATTCTATCACTTGATTTTTCAATTTTTTTATATTACTGTTGTGAAAGGATGAATTACTGAAGTGGATTTTAGACCGTGCATTACCAGGTATCGGGCACTTCCGGGTATATACAAGTATGAGTACAGGGTGGCATCTGCATAGAATTTCAAGGAAAGAACCAGTGACGTTGGCTTTTTGCTGACCATGAAGCCTATCCTACGGGCGCTGTACCATTGCATCAACGACAAGGCGCCAGTGCCATCATTCTGCAAAGTACCATCCATACAAGTTTTGAACAGTGTGGCTGATGCTAGCTTCCCCCATAACTAGAGGCCCGCAAGCCACAAGGCCAAGATCTGGGCGTTATTCAAACTTCGGTTGTTTCCCACTCTTGGTCTCTGAATGTTAAACATCGAACTCCTCTACTCAAGACTTTGCCTGGTACTGTGGGATTGGGTTGACTTCTCTGGCTGGAACGGCTTTGGGTTGGCGTCAGAGCTTCAGAACTTTGAAGAGCAATGCGTCTATTCCTCTGTCTCTAGTCCCCTTTTTGGCGTTTCCGCCAGCCTTCGATTGTGAAGGCTGTCATTCTCTTTAGTGTCGCTGGCTGGCATGGACGCTTTGGAAAATCACGGACCATTAACTACTCTGCTCCGAGTCGTACCAAGGAATTGGCTGTAGCATAAGCTTTGACATTAGCTTTCGAAATCCACTGCTTGTGGACTTGCTGGAAAGGCAACCCCGCTGTGACAGCCATCACTGATACTTGTGTAGGCCCGCTCGCCTCGCTATATAGTCTCGACTTCGGCTCACTCTTTCTAGATTTCTCTTTCTCTACTAATAAACAGCACACGACTCGCTTTGTAAAGCGCCCTGTTCTTCTATAGTCGCCCGTCGGAAGTCCTCCTCAACAACGTATTTCTTGTCAATCCTGCAGTCCACGACCCAGGCTTGCACAACACTTTCTCCAAGATGAAGTCCTTCTCCATTCTTCCCCTCATAGCCATCACTATCTCCCCAGCTCTCTCCCATCCTCGAGCCGGCGCAATCGACGACACTCGCAACTCGGCGTCTCTGGATTCCCGCTCCAACCTAGTTCCACATGCCTGCAGCAGAGCGAACACGCTAGTCTCCGAACAGCTAGCCGAGATCTCGCAGCTGCAATCGAGAAATCTCCCCACCCCTGCTGACTTAGCCGGGTACTTCTTCGCCATCATCCACGGACGCAGAATTCTCGGATGCCCCTCCGATCCCCTTCTCAGTCCAGACAATAGTTCTACTTCAGCAGCACAGCATCCGAAACGCAACAGCGAGCCGAAGGACCCCGACGGACAATACCCAGGCTGGGGAGACCCCTGTGGGACAGTGAAAATACTAATAGAACAGGTCATGGATCAGATGACCGTGCTGAGAGACAACCAAATACCTGTCCCGCCATATCTCGCAGGCTGGTCGTTATTGACGAGTGATGCGAACACCGAATTGAAATGCGGGTTCCTTGGCGCGGGCATGGAAGACGGCGGTAATTCCACGGGCACGTCTTCGCAAAATGCATCGTCGACATAGATCAGTCATGCGCAGCAGGTTGAGGGCACAGGCAGCCATGTTCATCTTTGTGGGTGGGGAGCGTCAGAAGTGGTCGTAATAGGATAATCTAGAAACCCAGGACTGGTCAAGAGGACTATCATAGACGTATCACAGAAAAGTCTTCAAGGTGCTCAATCTCTTCAGACATTTACATATTCGAATTGTGACGCAACATAGACTGCGAGCTATGTATTCGTTCTGTCCAGGAGACCGTGACTGGTTTGCTCGACAAAACCCTGGGTGTTTACCAAAGTGTAGCCAGTGCGTTCGCCAAACTAATCCATCCGCGCTACTGCACAGGGATTGTACAAAAGAACACGATTCAATCAAAGGTGATCCTATCAATGGTGGAAGCTCATGAGACCCGAAGCTATTATCGACAAGCAAGCATGAGGATACATACAATGGTGGTCACGAACCAGCGAGCTGGAACTTCCGGTAGACTGCGCTGCATGTTAGGGGACATTGACAAAGGAGAGCTCGCAAACAGGCCATCTCTGGATCGTAGGTGCTGGTTCTCGATCTGGTGTGAAAGTTGGACAAGTCAACTCTGGCAACTGCTCGAACTCGTTGGCATCAGCAGGTATCTCGGTCCTGGGCCACGGCCCATTCAAACTAGACTCGGAATAAAATCTATGCTGAACGTTCCACGCTCGATCGCGATAGTATTGCCAGCTCTTGTTTTCCGTCAGGAAGTCGCTATGGGGTCGATCGCAGTTGCCCAAACAACTTTACCTTTGATCGTGTAGTTTTCCTTTCATCTCAGTCTCAGAAACTTCGTTTCATCTGACAAATAATAAAGCCATCCTGCAATCCCCAAAGATAAGATTGATGTAGTTCCTTCAACGTGGAGCGAAGGGAGCTGAAGTTCGCGCGAGACGACAATTGATGTTCTCTCGCTTAAGTTACCTAAATCCATGATGGAAAACGCGCTAAAAGACCAATTCCTCACCAAAATCTCAGCCCTACAAAGTGACAAATTGACCGCTCGCTTTCTGAGCTTCGTTAATAATGATTTTCGCTAGGCAGAAATGCCGTGAGTTTGTCTTGTTCCATCACCCATTTGTTTTTTTTTAGCGCAATCACTCCTGCCCAGCCGCCAGTACTTAAATCCCTCCCATCCCCACCCTCTTTCCTTTCTGATCTTACAGCGCCTCCCTTGACCCAACGATAGACACCATTTTCATCAACGACTACAACTTTGCATCAAACAATCATCAATAACGTCATACTCACTACATCAGTTAATCTATCATCATGACTGGACGTAAGTAACATCTCTGATATACCGTCACCACGCCCTCATCCCCCTCATCGTGGCGGTCGGCATCGCTGCCACCGAAATTCATCATCGCTTTCGGTGTTGCCATGTCACCCAACGCGTCTCCTCCCACCAAAGCACTACCCCCTCTCCACCATCACCTCCCCGCCACCACAGCTCCTCTCCCATGTTGCCACCCTACACCTCACCACCGCCCACCCCTCTCCTCATCCAAGCATCCACTAACATTCTTCATAGGCGGAAAAGGTGGCAAAGGCCTCGGCAAAGGCGGAGCGAAGCGTCACCGCAAGATCCTCCGTGACAACATCCAGGGCATCACCAAGCCCGCCATCCGTCGTCTCGCGCGTCGTGGAGGCGTCAAGCGTATCTCGGCCAGTAAGCCTACCCTAATCTTCCCTGCCCTGCCCCGCGTTGCCTTCCCTCCCTTGAACGTTTTTCCTTTTCCTCACGTTGCCTTACCGATGATGCTGACGGTTACGCGTCACAGTGATCTACGAGGAAACCCGCGGTGTCCTCAAGACCTTCCTCGAAGGCGTCATCCGCGACGCGGTCACCTACACCGAGCACGCGAAGAGGAAGACGGTGACGAGTTTGGATGTGGTCTATGCGCTCAAGCGTCAAGGGCGTACGCTTTACGGTTTCGGTGGATAGATGTCCATGTGTGCTTGCAAGTGGTGGAGCGATGAGTGGACATGGCATGGAGATTGCTGTATCTTTACTACTGGCGTTGGGCCAACGAGGCGTCATGGGGCATGTGTTTGGCTTGCTAAGCATACGTGGGATGGATCGAATGCTTGCTATCGCCGATGATGGCTGCTTAACTGATGACTGATACTATTTGTTCCATCTTGCTTGCCAACGCGATTTCACTATCTCTGATGTGTCCCAATGTAATCTCACTCAACACTGGCACGCGCTGCTTCTCTGCTACCGGCACATACTGACGCCTCCCACTTTTCCCTACGCCCATCTCATTGATCGATGAGTCCGCCTTCAATCCAGCCTATCCTCAGCTGTGTGGCCCAAACCTTTCATGGCCGTGCTTGCTCCTTGGCCTCTCTGTGGCAGGACTGTTGTTGCAATGACCTTCGCATGATGCATTGGCTTCGACTCTTCAATCACGTCGAGTACTCCATTCGTCCTGTTTTCGTTCCTCATCAGGTGTCCTCCGTCTTCTTCAGCCTGGCATTGGCCTCCGTCGCCAGGTCTCGGCTCTTTTCTTTGACCACTTGTATACCATCTGTTGCCATGTTCGCGGCCTGCTGTTTCCGCTCACCCAAGTTCTCGGCCACATTGGCCGCTGCCTCTTGTGTCCAAGCTCCAAGGTTATCCGTCATCTGCCCCGCTTGTGTCTTCGCGCTGGCCGCCCTTTCATATGTCCAATTCCCACTACTATCTGCCACATGGCCCGCTTGTGTCTCAACACTGACGGCTGTCTGCTTGACGTGCTGTCCAATGCTCTCTGCCATTCGCCCTGCTTGCTCTTTTGTGGACTCAGCTGATTCCCTAATATTTTCTGCCGTACGGCCGGCTTGCTCCTTCGCCGATCCTGCCAGGTCTTCAACGTTTTCTGCGACCTGCACGGCTTGCCCTTTCACGGATACTGCTAGTTCCTGTGGACTGGGATACTTCTTGAGCATCGTGAGGATGCTGTAGTAAAGCTGGATGACAAGCTTGTGGACTGCTTCCTTCACGATCATCGTGATTCCGTGACTGAAAAAGCCTTTCATTACTTCGCCCCCAAGACCCTCATATAGCGCGCCGAGGCCTTCGGTCTGGGCGATTCGAAGAATCACAGTGAAGACATTGCTAGGCGCTTTTTTAGGTGCCTCAGTGCCTTCCAGCTTGACGGTGGACAAGCTTTCGCGTTTATCGAGGCCAGAGGAGGATTGTAGACGTGATTTAGCCAGTGAGAAAGGGTAGGTTATCGTTGATGCCATGGCTTTGCTGATTGCAGCCAGTAAGAAAATTGCCTGCGGTGAGGGACTCTGGCGTTGACTGCGCGGAAGAAGAGTGCGTTTGAAAGCTTCGAAGAAGAAGAAAGTGAGAGATGGGTTCAAGGTGAGGACCAGAGATGCTGAATAGCCTGACCAAAAGCCTTGCACGCCCTTCTCTGCCCGAATCTGCGAAGCGATTGAGCGTAACGAGCCCTGGTCTGTGTCTCTGCCCGAATCTCGACCTGAAAGCATTGAAGACGTCTGCTTCCGGGTAACAATGTTCGCAACAGGTGTCGTAAGAAATTTGGAAAGGGCTCCGGCCAGGAAGCCCACGCCCAGTTCGTCTATGACCGGGAGATGCTTGCTAGATGTTCTGGAGGATTGTATTCGAGTCTGACGGAGAAAGTTGTAGGCCAAGAAGAACAGGAAGGAGTCGGCAATTGTCTTCGAGGTGTCTGAGACGACGCCGATGTAGAAGCCATTAATACCACCCTCCCTGGTATATATTTTCTTTGCAGCGTCTCGAATAGATTTATACTCCTCCGAGTGGGGCGAATTGGCGTTCTTGCGTAGTTGTCGTTGGATTTGGAGCCGAGTGATGATGAGGGCGAGTGGATACGTACAGACGTTCGATATCGCTGCCCCGGTTGAGCCAGCAATGGCATGACCTAGAGCCGGTAAAGCTGGACCACCGAGAATGTAGGGGGCTTTTTCCGGGGATTCTTGAATCTTGTGGTAGAGATCGAAGGCATCCTATGGCTCTGTCAGTAACGTTGTCTCAGGTAATGATACTCAGAGTCTGTACCAGCTGGCCGTTGTAAACTTGCGCCATATTGAAGGGGATCTAGTTTGCGAGAACCAAAAAAGAATCGAGAATGAGCAACGAGGACTTGTCTCGGACTGAGCAATTCACTTCACTTGACAATGTCTGGACTGCATCTTGGCCGATTTCCCCGGATCTCATCAAGAGATCTCCCGAACTTTGGCCGATAGTGTGGCGCTAGAGTTTCGAAGTCACAATCTCTCCGAGATATGTTAAGTGCATGCGATCAATGGTTCAGCGTCTGTTGACATATGAATAGACTTGTCACGACAGTAGTGAGTTCAAAGACGATGACTAGGAGAGCCCCTTTTCCACTCATGCAGGCCTTCAGGACATAGCTTCCATGTAGCTGTCTGGATCGCGGCATAGGCAGGATTGTTTGTAAGTCACATGGGATTGGAAGATCAGAAAGTTTTTCAAACTGGTAAAAGGCGAGCAAAACACTTGCAAGGTTCTATGTAATGTGGATAGACAACATACTCGATCCTTGGTTTTCTGATCCTACGTCTTGACGCTGAGGTCTCTCAAAGTATCAGGGTCCGCTTGTGACCACAAGAAGTGAATTATCCGACTTCTCTGCATGAAGAACATTGAAGAAGCGTGAACGCGATGTCAGTTTCATTTGCAGTACAACGGTCTGCCGATTGCTTTTGAGCAGACCATCACGTCTTCGACCGAACTATTACTGCTCTTTATTTCGCCGAATTGCACCATTGTTGGGGAGAAAGGTACCCTAGTCTCACTCATTTGCTGGAAATTGACGTCTTTCTATAACGGAGTGACAGACAGCCATAAGCTTCTTGTTGGACTGAGGCATCACCATTCGCCAGACAGCGTTCTGAAGCTGTCCCACAAAATGATAGAAATGATCAAGTGACCTAGAACCTTTCAAAGTGCTAGGTTTTGGGGATTCAGGCCTTCGTCTCTGAGGTGATAAGCCACATGCGTCTTGTTCGGTGGATTTGAGCAAAAAAGAAGGCAATTGCTTTCATCAATGGAAGGAACTTCGGGTCGGAGCAGGCCATTCAAGGAATGATGCCGACACGCGAAGTCAGTGTTAGCCTATGAAATAGCAACTCCAAAGTAGAGAGAAAAGCAAATGTCATCCACCCGAATCCTATCATGTGACCAGTGTAGACTATTTCGACGAAAGATCTAGACTTTATGCAAGAGAAGCGGGACTCCTGCCTCTACTTTACAAGCTTCGTAGCAACATGCCCTTGCAACAGATGTCTCGAAAGGATTCTAATCACTTGAGATCTGGGATATACAGCTTGCGACCTATATCAGATACATAAGATCGTACGGCTTGGTACATCAGCCATGGCGGAGGCTACACAAAGCGGCGGCTTACTCGACCTCGAGAAGGAGCTGACTTGCTCTGTGAGCCTCCATACACAAGCCTGACATGCCCATCTGGCTTCCACAACTCAAACTAACACAGCGGCTGACAATGTTACGTTCTCTACTTTCAGATATGCATGCAAGTTCTCCACCAGCCCCTCACCCTTCTCGACTGTCTCCACACCTTTTGCGGCTTTTGCCTCAAAGAATGGTTCGTGTTGCAAGCCTCTCGAGCATCATCATCGAACCCATATCCAATCTCGTGCCCGTCATGTCGAGCCTCAGTACGGGATACCAGGCCAGATGCAAAGGTCACTACATTGCTGGATATGTATCTACAAGCCAATCCTGGCAGAGCCAGAGATGATGACGAGAAAGAAGAGATCAAAAGCAAATACACACCAGGGGAGAATGTGCTACCGAGGGTTAGGAGGAGTAGGGAAGGTAGTGATCAGGCTGAGGATAGGAGGATAGTAGAAGAGGTGAGGGAGATGAGTTTGAGAGAGGTGGGAATTGGAGGATCGGGGTCTTATCAGAGGGGTATCAGGCATCGAGTAAGGGACGGCGCAAGAGACGCGAGAGATGAAGATGCTAGGCAACAAAGAAGAGACCGAGAGGGAGGGTCAAGCAGTGGTGGTGATCTTGGTGAAGAAACTGCGAGACCCTCTTCTGCGACAGATGCTGCAAACCAGGCAAGACGGATCGGACACCAGTCTAGTCTACGGTCTCTACTGAGCACCAGCGATTTGGACTCTTCGGAGATGGAAGAGGAGATCCTGAGGCAGATTATCGATGAGGGGATTCTGGATGGGATTGACTTGAATAGCATTGGCGTTGGGCAAGAGGATGAACTTAGTGAGAAGATCGCTGAGGCATACAGAAGACGGCATGGAAGGATGTCTAGGAGTCAGGATAATCGAGCTGAACAGCGAAGAGTCTCCGGTTCGCGGGGGCAGAGGTCGAATTCGAACGAGCCAAGACAACAGAGGAGACCAGGCAGGTCTCCCAACCCGGCTGATCAGACTACGCATTCTTCTCATCCCCCAGTCTCGAGACCGTATCTATTGGAGGCCTATCCTTCAGGAGAGGGACACAGGCGAAGGACGTCCAGCGAGACTAGGCAGACTAGGCGGCAGACTTCTCCGACACCCCCTTCGTCTAGCTCACGGACAGCTTCAGAGACGCAGAGGCAAGCAGCGCGGTCAGTCACAGATCTATCGAATAGACCGCAGACTTCTAATGCAGCAGCGCGGTCTGCTACCGACTTGTCCGGCAGACCCCAAAGTTCTTCAAACCAAAGGGTTCGCCCAAGGGACATTCCAAGCGGTGGTAGGCGGACAACAGATCTGGCAAACGTTGTGGTGTCACCGCCACGAATCTCAGCTTCGGACTCACCTTGGGCCGCTGGCCAAAACAATCGACAGGTTTCTCGTCCAACTGACAGTGCTCGCTTAGCAGCCAGGGCGCCATCTGAGCCACGGATAACGGATGCAGTCTCCATTCCCCAGCCCCCAGCAGAATTTCCAGTCCTATCAATAGCACAAGTCACATATCCAGAACCTTCCATCTCTTGCGAAAGATGTGGCAAGGTCAATCTGGAGCATGAGTTGCATATGAATTGCGATCAATGCATCGAAGGTAGGTATAACCTTTGCCTTCGCTGCTGGCGTCTCGGACGAGGCTGTCTCCATTGGTACGGCTTTGGCCATAACGCGATGGTCCAATGGGACAAAAAATCGACTTCGGGGGCTGGCTACCCACCAGAACATCCATTGCCACACATCCTCACTGGTCATCGATATCTTAGTCCATCATCCGATAGCTGTCAGCACACAAATGGGAGTGAGCAAAGGCTTATGACAACATCAGATCCTAGCAAACGTCTCCGGTCGGGCCCTTTCTGTTCCAACTGTTCTGCCTTTACACCGGAGTGCTTTTGGGAATGCGAGGTCTGTAACGATGGTGAATGGGGTTGTTGCAATGCTTGCGTGAATCAGGGCAAATGCTGCACACATCCACTACTCCCTGCTTCTTATCCCCTATCTACTAATCCCGGCGACTTCGGACCGTCTAATGCGACACAACATGTTTCATCGACCACCTTTACCCCCATCATAACCTCCCGGCCCCAGTCGACGGAAGAGCCTTTCGACGAATCGCATATTCCCCTCACGTTCAGCACCAAGTGCGACATTTGCACCTACCCTATCCCACCATCTACTACTCGCCTCCACTGTCCCCAATGCAATGACGGCGACTACGACATCTGCACCACATGCTATCTCCGTCTCGTCAAAATCGGAAGGATCAGTGCTGAGAATGGACCCAGAGGCTGGCGCTGTTGTCCCAACGGTCACAGAATGATCGTCATCGGCTTCGAGGACTCTGTCCAGGGCCAAAGACGCGTTGTCGTCGAAGACCTTGTAGGTGGCCACGCACTCAACGATACGACAGACTCCGAGGGAAAAGTGTGGCGTTGGCGAGACGAAAGCCAGCAGACACAAGCGAAGACAATCTCGACGGCCGTCAATGGTAGAAGCTTCGGTGGCTCTAAACCGCATCCCAATAACCCGGCCGTTGGGAGGTATCCACCTAATGGAGGCGTGGGTATGCGCGTGCTAGCATTGTGGTCGTATTGGCCGCAGGAGGGTGTGGAAGATGAGCTTGCGTTCCCAAGGGGCGCCGAGATACGAGAGTGTGAGGACATCAATGGGGATTGGTTTCTGGGGATCTATTGCGGGAAAAAGGGTGTCTTTCCCGGGAACTACTGCAGGATACTGGAGAAGATTGGTGTTTGAGGACCGTGAAATGACAAAAGCATTAGAGGAAATAGTTTTGAACGATCTGGGCAGAGTCTTTGAGTACTGGCCCAGGGTGGATATCTACATTACGAAATGTCGCTTGGATTGACATGTTACCTTGTTTTATTCGACAATGAGAAGCTGTACCATGCCGCTGCTGTGCAAGTCGAGAGTCTCTTTCCCGCACCTGCGAACGGCGGCATCGTCTATGAGATGGTCTACTCGGACGTGAGAGATCATCTGAAGTAGCAGGCCAAGAAGTATCCTTCGGATTCAACTCCTCCACCCCCGTCCGCTGTGTTCTCGTTCAACTTCGTAGACCAAGAGCCTAGGTAAGCTTGTTCGTGAAGCGAAACCTGATCTTCTGGGCGCGATACCATGGTATGGAGTCCATTTTTTGAGCTTCATTGACGCCATCCTAGAGACGAGCGTGTCACCGGATTTTGAGAACGAGGTGTAAGCGCTTGAAAGGTTGAGCCAACACCCAGATAGATAATCGGTAGCTAATCGGCTTCACTTCTAGCTTACTTATTTGGTCGAATGATTGTAAAAAGCCACTGCTCCGAAAATAACCCAGGGCAACTCATTCACGTTTGAGGAAACCGTCGGCAACTTGGCAGTGATCAAAGACGCAATAATTGTGAAGACAATCCTGGAAGAGAAACAGGACCTGTATTCCAAGGATACACTTGAGCATTTGATACGGACGAAGGGAATCAGCAGCTGTGAGCAGAAGCGTATTGGAGAGGACTGAGAAGAGATATCTGGGTATTCTCCCGCCAGCTTTGGGCAAGAAACCGGGAATCATTATTGTTGATGTCTATGATTGGGTCAATCAACGTAGACGCTGCTTTTTTAGTGTTGCTGTTGTCACTGTTCAAGAGATTATTTACCATTTCTACTGCCAAAGTTTGTGGCCTTTTTGCCTGATGTACACATCAAAATCAGTCCAAATTCTCAGTCGGCATAACCAACATCCCGATGTTTAGACCCGGTGCCATCGAATGATGGTGTATCATAAGTACCACTCGGATCTTCTCCATTCTTCATGATGTACTCTTGCACCTTTGCAAGGTCGTGGCGGATACCGCCGAGCGTTTCGTGCATGTCCAGGCGAACCTTCTCATTTCTCTTCGCCGCGCCCCTAATAGCAGCCTCAACGACATGATATCTGCTCACACCATTCCGCAGCATCATATCCAGCGGCGTTGTCGTGCTGCCCTCCTCACTATATGCTGCAACGCTCACACGACTTAGACTGGGCCTACCGAATAGCAAGCCCTTGATCTCGTCCCCGTAGCCGTGATAGTTGAAATGAATAGGACAGTCAGCTGTGAAGAGAGCATCGAAGTCCTCATGCGAGAGAGCGTGAGGATGTCCACCTTGATGCTTGAGTATCAAGAGGTCCGTAACATTGACAACGCGCACCCGCAGACTCGGAATAAGCTTGCGCAACATGGCTGCTGCTTCAATGACTTCAAACGTGAGTTCGGCACCGATACCAACAATCACTACGTCGGGGTTGAGACCGTCGTCGGTGCTAGCAAATTTCCAGACCGAAGCGCCTGCACGACAATGATTGTCAGCCTCTTCTGGAGATAGGAAGACTGGTTGAGGCTGCTTCGAGCCAACCATCAGATTCACGTAGTTGGTTGAGCGGAGGCAATGGGCAAGGGTGGAAAGAAAGGTGTTGGCATCTGGGGGCAGGTAAACCCGGGCGGCGCTCGGTTTGAGATTCAGAACGGCGCCAATGAAGGAAGGGTTCTGGTGCGAAAACCCATTATGTTCTTGACGCGTCCAGGTGCTAGTTTCGAGGTAGTTGAGGCTGCTAATGTCCTTTCTCCAGGTAGTCTCCCGAGCCTGTGGGAATAGTCAGGGTATTGCCAAGCGATCACGTGGAGTAACTTACCATCTTGTTAAACTTACTGTACTGCACCATCATCGTGTGGATGATGCCCAAGAAGCTCTCATATGAGGGGAAGAGGCCAGTGCGTCCAGTAAGTGTGTATCCTTGCAGCATGCCTTGGCAGGTATGCTCGGACAGAATCTCGATGACTCTGCCGCCACGAGCATTTGAAAACTCGTCCCATTGAAAGTTCCTCCCAGTGTGGTTGAACACAGCATCTAATTTGTTGCTAACAAGCTCGTCGGGCGAAAACACTCTCATACACTTAGGGTTATCGATTAGGACCTGGTCAAGGAGCTCTCCAATGGTCTGCATGCAGCTCGCTTGGCCACCTTTCTTGACGCCATAATTCTTCCAATCCGGAATATTTAGCACTTCGTGTGAGCCATATGTGTCTATTTGCTGGCCCAACCTTTTGCTCTCGTCGGCGGGAATGATGTCCAGGATTGCTTTCACGACACCGCCATCCTTGGTGAACAATTCGTCCGGCTTGTAGCTCTCTAGCCACTCTTGAAGCTGCTTCAATTCACTTGGGTCGGACTTGGCGGCCATTAGAGGTACCTGATGCGCGCGGAATGATCCCTCAATGAACTGTCCGTGGACCTTCTTCGGTGCTCCCCAACCCTTCGGTGTCCTCATGATCAAGACAGGCCACCTAGGCTTCATGATCGGCTTCCCAGAGCGGGCTGCTCTCTGGATCTTGTGGATTTCAGCCAAAGCCCATTCCATAGATCGACACATATCCGCATCGATGTCTTCCAGGTCTTCAACAAATCGGCATTGGTAGCCATAGCCGGTGAACAACGTGACCATTTCTTTATCGTCCATGCAGCCATAGATGGTACGTTCGCTGATCTTGAATCCATTGACATGCACAATTGGAAGCACAGCCCCAGATTCCTGGGGGTCGATGTACTTTGCAGCATGCCACGCTGTGGCTGTTGGTCCACTCTCTGACTCACCATCGCCAACCACGCAGGCAACGATGAGATCGGGCTTGTCCATGACGGCACCGAATGCTACCGATAGAGCGTACCCGAGCTCTCCGCCCTCATGTATAGCACCAGGTGTCTCTGCATTGATATGGCTTGGAAACCCACCAGGAGTGCTGAATTTGGTGATGAGCCTGTGCAATCCCTCTTTGTTTCTGCTATACTCCGGATAGAACTTTCCCAGAGAACCTTCGAGCCACAAGCTCGAAAGAATGCCAGGCGCGCCATGACCTGGACCAACGACAAAGATGATGTCTTGTTTCTGTTGTGTTGCCAACAGGTTGAGGTGAGAGTATACGAGGGTCAAGCCTGGGCAGGTGCCCCAATGGCCGAGAAGTCGAGGCTTGATGTCTTCAAATTGGAGGTCGCGTTCAAGCAGGACATTGTCTTTCAGAAAGATCATAGCTACCAGCAGGTCATTAGGATTGCATCAGGATTCTTGGAGGAGTCAAGAGGCTCACCAGCAGCAATGTAATTTGCAGCGCGTCTGAACTCCTGCAGTCCAGTGTACGTGGACTCGTCGAGCTTTTCATTGCCCAGCTTGACGGCCAATTGTAAGACATGGTCGTCAATTTGGGAAGGCAGAGGCTGTGGATTGGGCCGATCTATCTCTTCTCCAGGCATGTTGAAGGTGTCGATTGACTATCTGAGGATAGGTGTTTTGGCTTCGTGGACTGACGGTGGTAGAAGGAATAAAGTGATTGTCGAAGCAACTTTAAAGAGGGGTCGTCCAGGAATTGCCAACGAGAGTGCAGTACAAACTTCCGTAGGAGGCCGCCGTGCCGTTGTCCGAAGGAAAGGAAACAGGGTCTCAGGGACACGAGCGACTGGGGACGAGTTGACGTAAGGTAAAGTAAAGTAGGTTTTTGCTGCGGAGACACTTCCGCAACCTTCCTTGATGAATAACATCCCATCGCCGATGCTTCGTTGCTTCTCTTTTACTTCGCATTTCCTTCTTGGCATTGCTTATCAGCACCATTGCCACTATCCAGGCCGAACGTCAGTCATGAACTCGACGCAGTAAAAAGGAATTTCCTCCATAATACTTATACTGCCTCAAGTCCATAAATCTTAAAGCCTAACGCCGCTTATCGATAAGCAACTCCCCACCACATGCAAGCATCACCAGCGAGCCTCCATCTTCGACTCACGTTCTGAGCGCCGTGGCTTAAAAGCCTGAAAAAGGTCTATGAGTAACAGCAAGGAGCAGGAGGAACGGATTAGGAATCTATAGCTCAAGTAACTGGCGCTTTCGAATCCGACACGCCCGCACCATGGCTATCATTCTCTCCATCAACTCCGGATCCTCCTCCGTCAAGGTCTCCATTTACAAGTCAGCCGCCCAAGGCCACCCTCCAACCCAGCTCGCCGACGCCTCAATATCCGGTCTCACAGCTCCTCCAGCCCAATTGACCTACGAGCGCGGCTCCGAGAAAATCAAGAACCAAGAAGTGAAAGGCATAAGATCAAATGAGGATGCTTGTGAATACATATTGGATCATTTGGTCAAAGACGGAGGACTGTCCGAGATTACCAGCAGAGACGACATCACACATGCATGCCATCGAGTCGTACACGGAGGGGACTATCCAGCTGCTCATGTGATCGATGAAGATACATACCACCATCTTCAAGATCTCACAGACCTCGCACCCTTACACAACGCTAGCGCCCTCGCCATCGTCGAAGCTTGCATGAAGGCTTTGCCAAAAGCGAAGAACATCGCATACTTCGACTCCTCATTCCACTCAACAATGCCCAAAGAGATAGAAACATATCCGATTGATCCCGAGATAGCGAAGAAGAACAAGCTGCGGAAGTATGGCTTCCATGGCATCAGTTATGCCTTTATCACGAGATCAGTTGCGGAGTTCCTGAAGAAGCCGGAGAGTGAGACGAGTATTATCGCGTTGCACCTTGGTAGCGGGGCGTCGGCTTGTGCGGTCAAGAACGGACAATCGCTGGACAATAGTATGGGTCTGACGCCGTTGGCGGGTCTGCCGGGAGCCACGAGAAGTGGCGACGTGGATCCAAGCCTGATCTTCCATTTCACCCACGACGCTGGAAAACCAAGTCCAGGCAGTACTAAGGAGCTGCATATTAGCACAGTATGTCCATCATAGAGCAAGTGACTGGAGATTGGGTGCGCAAGTGCTGACCATCATGATAGGCGGAAGAGATCCTGAATAAGAAATCTGGCTGGAAAGCCCTCGCCGGCACAACAGATTTCGGCACAATCTCGTCATCATCAGATCCCAGATGCAAACTAGCATTCGATATCCTCGTTGACCGCATCCTTGGCTTCATCGGCAGCTATTACGTCAAATTGGAGGGAAAAGTCGATGCATTGGTCTTTGCAGGAGGTATTGGGGAAAAAGCAGCGCTTTTGCGGAAAAGGATATTGGAAAAGTGTAAATGTCTCGGATTCGAGGTTGATGACGAGAAAAATGACAAAGCAATTGAGGATGTGGTCCAAGATATTGGCAAGGAGGCGCGGCATCGGAGTCTGGTGTGCCAAACAGATGAGCAGGTATGGAGACTCAGTCTGCGTAACCGCCAGATATACTGACTTCAAAATAGTTTGAAATGGCCAGGCAATGTGCTGTGGGTCTGCAGACAAAGTAGAAATTCGAGCCAGATTTGATATGTGAAAAAAGAGAATCAATACACGAGAGAACAATAAATGGGGCTTGAGTCCCATGTTCATAGGGGTTACAGGCTCTAGCAGAACTGCTCTGTCAACATATAGACGGCATGTGGCCGATAAAACGGTAACGACGGATATGAATGGACCAAAGATTGTATAGTCTTAGTCCTTGGTCTCGCTCTTCTCCGCCAGCTTTTCATCTAGATTGTCAAGCAATTCCGTCGCTCGTACCTCTAGGACGGGGACCGCACCGGCGATTTGTGGTCCTGTAAAGTCCTTTCGCCCAGATATAAGCCAGGTGATGATACTAATCAGCCCGATGATGCCTATTGCAGCGCTCGTGTAGTTCATGTTCCCCGAGTCCACGGGTGCCAAGGTTGGGAAATTAAACGTTATCGATGTAAAGACGAGGAAACTAAGACCAACCACATTCATGATTATGCCCCATCGTCCAAGATTGTAAGGACCCGACAGTATCTTTACGTCTCCTGTGAACCATGAGAGGATGCGGGCAAGCAGTGGCATTGCGTATGAGAGATAGAAACCCTCCGTTGCAATCGAGATCACAGTATTGAATCCGGTCAAGGTACCAAAGTAGATCGAGTTGAGCGCCATTTGTACCGCACAAGCGAGCAGGATCGCATAAACGGGCACCTGTCTTTTGGACTCCACTTTGGCAAAGAGGCTGGAGAACGGGAGGCCGTGGTCACGCGCAAAAGCGAATAAGCTTCTTGAGCCTTCAGCCAGTAGAGCGTTGGCGCAGACCAACACGATCACGACGATCAAGGATGAGAGGAAGCAGGCGCCGACAACAGATCCGGTGGAGTCGTAGAAGATCTGAATAAGGGGTACGCCAGTCGTTGAGGAGGCTGTTGAGGAGATGTCGCCGATACAGAAGCAGACAGATATCAGAAAGATGAATCCTGTTATTGCGCCAATGTAGACAGACATGATAATTGCTTTAGGCGCCTCCTTGGAAGCATTCTTCATCTCCTCCGTCATGTGAGCTACGAAAACGCTGTTAGTCAAACAGTACCAAAGTCATGGGTATGTCTCGTATGAAACTTACCTGGCGCGTCGTAACAACACATCCCAAACGAGCTTTGCAAGAGCCCCAGTATCGCTGCAAAGCCGGTACTAAAACCAGTGAAGTTTTGAAAATCGTGGAAGACAAAGCTGGCAGGCTGTTTGTGATCATTGGTGGCGAGGATCGTTATGACAACAATGACAAAAGAGAGGATATTCCAAAGGAGAATGAAGCGGGAGATTCGGTCTAGCAGGTGTGGCCCGTAGATATTAACGCCAGTACTTATCAAAGCGATGAGATAGGCGAGGAGTACTGTGTGCCAGCGTTCGATGGTGTAACTGGGGAACGAGAGGTTGGCTTGGCCCAGTATAAAGTTCGCACCAATGAAGTTGTTTGTTGCTCCCATGGCGAGAATACCAGTGATCATTAGCCACCCGGTAGCCCAAGACATGCCTCTCGCTATCTTTGGAGGTGCTAGCACGGCGACCCATGAATATTCTACGCAGATTTCGGAGTCAGCAGTCTTCATTCGAAGTAGGAGGTGGAGTTGCAAGACAGATTTGGGGAGTAGAAAGGTCTTCTTGCTCCCGAAACATGTCTTGCGACTCAACTTCGTTACCAAATAGGAAGGTTCAGCTCCGATATGTACGTACGCCCACCAGCAAGAGGATATGCTGAGCACATTTCTGCCATCGAGTACGCGACTGCCAGGGCGAAGACGCTGATACCTATCCATGAGTATATCATTACCGGAGGACCACCGGACTCCACCCCAACGATCAAAACACCACCAAGAGCTGTCCAGCTTGTGACGATGCTAAAACTGAATCCTATCATCCCCAAAAGGCCAAAGGATCGCTTGAGCTCCTGCTGGTAGCCCAGGTTCTCCAGCACGGTGTCCTCTTGGACATCCTCGCTGAAGACTTTCTCATGGGTCGACATGGCGAAATTCCTTCCGCTTGCCAACGTATTATAGAAAGGAAACTTCCACTTTTTGAAAAGAAAAGAAATAAAAGAGAATGCAGCATTGTCTTAAGACCATATATGTGAACTACAGAAGTATGTAAGATCATTGCTCGACACCTTCCTGTTCGCGACAAGCATGTATGGCTTGGTAGATAAGCTTGACCATGTCGCTGTGGGATTGGCCACGTCGTCCCGCAGCGGGGATCTAGCGCAAAATCTGCAGATCAGCGAGGCATATGGATATCTACGGACCAATACCAATTATAGGAAGCAGTGCTATTCGAGTCCATAACTGTCAGAGGGAGAACAACAGACTACTGAAACAGTGAAAGTATTGTGAAAGCAGAACAATACTAAAAAACTAGAGATTAGTACAGGGTACGTAGGGAAGGCTTAGCGTTTGGGACCTCAGACGTTATGGCGGAATTTTCCCAAGATGTAGGAAGAAATACAATGAGAAAACGAATCCCAGAGATGGGAAAAATATCATCCCATTGAGGAAAAGAGATTGCGGCGTCAACAAAAGAATTCATGTTGCTAGCCGACAGCACGCTAGAACTTAGTGGCTTGGCGTTTGTTGAATGTTGACGAAGTAACTTCCGTTCACTTCAAGCTTCGGCATCGACGACGGCAACCATTTCCAGAGGCTGCGTCCAGGACATTCGAATCGCGGGATCTGGTGATTTTGAAGAGGAGAAACTTGTTATGGTATTTCAAGAAAGATATTTCTTGCCCACGTCAGGAACGACGTTACAGCGCTCACTACGAACATCGCGCCTGGTGATCCTGAGCTTTACACTTTAGACTGATTCCGAACTGTTACCGAAACGCCTATTTGCTGCCCGGACCTGGGCATCGGAGGCTTCTTGACCTACTCCGCCTCAGCTCTTGGCGCGAGTCTTCAACTGCCCACGCGAGCCACATCGCCGCCTTGGACCGGCTGCCTCCAGTCATGCCAAACCTTGAGGACTCGATCTCTTCCTCACCGCGTATATCTTTGGACTCCGAAAATTCATTGGCATACTACAAATCACAATATGAGCAGCTTGAAGCCGAGCTTGCGGACTTTCAAGCGTCTAGCAAGGAGTTGGAGGCTGAATTGGAAAAGGATGTAGAGGCTGCAGAAAGGAGGGAAAGGCAGTTACAAGAGAAGGTGGAGAGTTTGGGCTTTGAAGTCGAGGAATGGAAGGTAAGCTGGGCCAAACTGCGAGCGACGGGCCTACCAACAGAACACTGTCAATACACTAGATCTTACGGCTTATATCTAATATTCGAACAGAGCAAATACAAACAGTCGAAAGCTGAAGCGAATACAGCACAGAATACACTCCAGAAAGAGATCACGACTCTACGTGACACCAATAGGACCCTGCAGCTTAGATTACGGGATATAGAGGTTTCGAATGACGACTTCGAACGACAGGCACGGAATACAACATCTTCGTTAGAAGATCTAGAGTCCAAATATAACGTTTCTATAGAGCGTGGAGTCATGGCCGAAGAAGAGATCAAGACTGGCGAGCAAGAACGAGAAGCTCTCCGAATTGAAACGCAGCGGCTACGAGATGAACTCAGCGATCTCAGAATCGAAGCCGAGATTAGGCAGGATAAGCTTCGTCGTGCAGAAGGCGCAGCAGAAAGGCAGCATCGGAGGCAGCTACCACCGATTGTGCCAGACCTTGCCCGGCCTCAGTCAGCTTTATCAGAGATATCACCAACAACATCCACTTCGTCACCGACCATCGCGACACCACCAACGAAATCAGCGTCTTCTGAAGTATCGGAGACACTTACACCTCCGTCCCCACCCGTGTCTGAAAGATCTGTTCCCACAACCATTACTACACCTGCGCTGCCAGTAGCAAAGTCGAGGCTCTCCATGGCAGACTCAAACACAACACCACGCCCAGCTTATCAGAAGAATTCGTCACGTCAGCCGAGGCACTCTCGCGGTCCCTCCGTCTCATTGACCAATGATCGCACACCATCGTTCGCACGCCGAACCACGTTAAACCGCCCTGAAGTGGAGCAGAGAGGTCCTGGTCTCCCACATTCCGGATCGCTCCATCAGATTCGTGGTCTGAGGACTAAGATGACGAACCTAGAGGAACGACTCAAATCGGCACGCTCGAAACTCCCAGCGCCAACATCAACCCCGCCACGGGCTCCTCCACGCAGCAGCTCTGTTGTTGGACAGTCATTCATCCCAGCTACCGTCACACTGCGCAGCAACAAGAAACGGATAGGTGGTTCCAATGCTTCTTCCGTCCATACGCCCACGACAGAGCGTCCGGCCAGCCGTCTATCTTCAGCCTACACTCCAACCGTTGATCGCCCATCCAGTCGGCTATCATTCGGAATCCCACAGTTAAGTCCTACGCGTGACATGCACAGTAGTCGGCCGCCAAGTTGTGATCCCCACAATAGTCGACCAAGCTCTCGTGCAAGTCTTCACTCTCGACAATCAATCAGCCATCTACCCGGCGCCACTTCCTCGAGCACCAGTCGTCCAAGCAGCCGGCAATCTAATACTGGTAGCCAGACGCCTCTCGGTCATTACGCCAACAGTACCACGCAATCCGAGTCTCGCCGCCCTCGATCTTCGATTGGAGGTTCTTATGCTAGCACCCACGGTCACGGCCATTCGGCAAGCGTAAGCAGACTGAGCAACTACGGCTCATCTTTCCAGCACCAGGAGGAAGAAGAAAGTGGCGAAGTCCTCACCCCTACGCCTTCGAGGAGAACCACCATCGGCAAGGGCGACGGTCAATCTTCCATTCCTGGTATCGCGCCCGCGAGTGCGAAGAAGAGATTCAGTGGCTTGGGAAGCGGGCGGAGAATAAGTTTGGGCCCAAGCACTGGGGGAGGGGAAATGGGACCCCCTGAGAGGAGAGGTGCGAGGAAGCTGAGTGGAGTGGGGGAGACATTCTGAATGGGTTGCTTGTTCACAAAGGGTTCGAGAGGTCTATGAGGAAGAGGAAACATGAGGGAGCATGGCTTTTATGTGGTTCATGATCTACGTACTAATGTATTCATGGCTTATGAGAGAGCACTGTACATACCCGAGCCTTGACATTGCTAGTAAGAATCAACTACAGATCTGCCCGGTCGGCAGTCTCTTGCTCGATAACTATCCTTCATGATTCTTCATTTCAAAAGCATTTCCGTTTCAATGTCTGAGCCAATCAGATGATAGATTCGAAGCTGATTAATCATACGATTGTTCTTCGCTGGCTAGGCCCCTTCGGGTTAACCCTTCTGCTTATCTTCGAACGCTCTGACGGTCTGAGGCACATACAAGCAGCTACTTTACACGTTATGCATTCATTGTCATTTTTATGATACACCAATCTCGTAATTGTACCACATAACTGTTAGCTGCATTTGATCGCTTGATGTCTATTCACTTCGTTCCCTCCAGCTACCGCTGCAAAAATTCCAGTATCCCATCCCTCCCCGATTCTCGGTCGTCACTCTCGCGAATGATGTTGATTGTCAGAGCTGACCCTCCGTCCGATCCTTTGACCGGACGATGGACTCAGGGTGTCCGCTACGGAAGAGACTTGTGACTTCCCAATACCCGGTGCGAGTTGTAGATGCAGTCGGGGCTGTTTCTGGCTGTAGAAATGCTTTCCACCATCGTGTGCCACTGGATTTGCTCTGCCTGGCGTTGCTGGTCTCAAGGCACGAGTGTGGTAATATAGATTCTATTGAAAGCCCAAGCTCGGCATCTCGAGCAGATGAGTTGGTTGTGGCTATCTCTGTGCAGTGATCATGGTCCGATGGTGGAAGGTGGCTGTTGAATCGTTGATCCAGACTTGCTGTCTCCTCAGACTGTCTACCTCCTCGTATCTCAGTGGCTATACCTGCGAGCTTTGCACTCGGAATCTGTGGGAGCCCGTTGGTCTCATGGGTATCATATAGATCAGGATCAGGACGTCGATGCGCAAACCTTCTCCTCTTCTCGCTCGGCGAGTCCCTTTGTTGTCGTGGTATAGGAGTCCTTGCTGGACTCGGAACGAAGAGGGAGCGAAAGGCAGAAACGGAGCACATGAGAACTGCAATGCTGCACTCTTGTTGCTGCCAGAAAGCCAGCCAGACAATATCAACGCTACCGCTGCCTCTTTGTCTCATGCCTGCGACTCTCACTATGGTCACTACTACCATAACGCATGAAAGGCAGAGCGAGAATGCTAGACCGATCTTTTGTCGAACGCTGATACGGACTTTCCATAGTATGCTGACAGGCAGAGATAGGACAAGAAGATCGCTCATGATATCCATCACTGTCGTGATAGCAGTGTCCCGTATGGTTCTGTGATCTGCAGAGGGTCCTGCACATGCTAGTCAACGACAAAACAGCGTCAGTTAATCATCCAACAAGTCGGTTTTACAGTCTCTGCTCACAAAGAAGGCCTCCAATAGTGAAGTACGGGCAAGTCAGCCAAGAAGCGGCTACGCTGACTAAACCAGCAATTATGGTAAGTGCGGTAACAAACCACCACCATACGTTTAAGCTCCGTAATCGAGAGATTAGCCTGCGAAAGAAGAACAGAAAGGCCATTTTGACAGAGAAAATAACGAGCCACCATAGGTTTGTTGCAGCGTTCTCTTCTTTCGATATACTCGGTATTTCTCCAAGCAGCCGGAATACTATATCACCTTCGAAGCCATGAAGGACCAACTGAATCAAAGCGTACTGGGCTGTCAGCGTGGCGTATGCCAAACCGGTGGCGGCGCAGAGGGACATAACCGCAAAGAGCAGGATGAAGTCTTCGACATGGACTTTCTTATGAATGCGGATACAAATATAGCTTCGGATGATGAATGCAATTATGGCAAGACCGAACAAGGCTCCTGTGACCCCCTAACACGAGGTCAATCGGACGACAACACATTAGACGGGGCGGAGGGTTCTCCATCTTACCTTGTTTACATCGATGGGCACCTGCGAGGCATTTCCCGCTTGAGACATTATGAGATTCGTACAACGAGTGTACTAGAGGGTTGGTTACCAGTGAAATGACTTGTGAAAATCAGACCTATCGTTTCATAAAATAAGGGGGTATGAAACCCATATTATAGCCTCGCCAGGGAAACAATCCAGAAATCTACCAGGCGAAGATGGGCTGAGCCTCGACATATCGCAGAAATAGAAATCAAAGTAAACGGAGCCTAACATGCAAGGCATTGCAGAAGGATCCACAATTGATCTCCGCGCACTGCGAACACGTTGCTGAGTAGTAGCGCTTATTATAAATCCTATCTTCAGCTGCTGTAAAGCATACATCATACGAGCATAATGAGTGGTAGAAAGAGATCTCGAGGTGTCGTTGTCCTGCAGCTGGGCGCCCGTTGATCAACAGCTGCGCCATTTAAGTATGCCCGCACGAGGCACGGCCAATGAAACCCCTGCTTACGTAAGATCTTAACCGCTTTATGCAAGCACGACCCACGTAAGCAGGCTGTGTTTCAGGATACTTTCGGCACACTTAATTGCCTCATGGTCAGGCTGAATTTTGTGGAGAGGCCAGTTGAAGTCTTTTCCTCCAGCTGCCCAGGAACCCTAAAGGCTTTACGAGTAAGCATGAGCAGATCGAATAATGAATGATGCAAGGATCCGATTACCTGCCGATAACACAATGTTTCATTGAGATTCACGTGGATCTTTGACATCGCTTCTTTCCACTTTGTCACGCATAACTTTGATTCAGATGCTACAAGTGGAGCCCAGTGACAGGTGACTTATTACATCAAATGCAAGTCTTGCACAAAAAGATCACCCAGACATAATCTACGAGCGCTTGGTTCTCACATCAAGTCGGCAGCAGAAGCAACTTTCAGCAAAGATCCATATCTGGAATAGTCGCCTCTGCGTTGTGATAAACACCAGTCCTTATCAGCTTCCTTCGAGAATTACATGGAAGCCGTGCCCTCACCCTGTCAACAATGGAAAGTGGCTACAATCTCCCCTTGCTGCTCATTTTGGCAGCAGCAGCCGCTGCTGCGTGGTATGCACTTGATTATTTCTGGGCTCCGAGGCTGTCTCCAAAAGAGCCTCCCTTGCTTCCTCACCCCATACCCTACATTGGTCATATTCTTGGACTTCTACGACATGGAACTAGATACTATCAGATGACGAGGTCGGTTGCTCTGTTGCTTTCACTAGCGGAACAAATTTACGCTGAGTACTCATTCAACGCAGTGCAAAGTGCAAACTTCCTATATACACTCTGAACATGCTGAGTGGCAAAGTCTATATTGTCACCTCTCCTGACCTGGTCAACGCGGTTAACCGTAATTCCAAAAAGATAGCGTTCAACCCGTTTGTCGCTATGCTCGGAAAACGCATCACGGGCCATGATGAAGGCACAAGTCAAATAGTCCAGCACAATCTAAACGGCGAGCATGGCCCGGGCTATGTTATCGATGTTCATGATCGTATAGTAGCTTCCTTGGCACCGGGCAAGGATTTGCAACAGACGACAAAGGCTATGCTATCCCAGCTTTCAGCCTACTTCGAGGCACTCACACCAAATGCAGAAATCAATCTGTTTGAGTGGACGCGATATACGGTCACTATGTGCAGTACTAGAGCGCTCTATGGGACCGAGAATCCATTCAATAAAAATACAAAATTCGTGGACGCATTTTGGTGAGTATTGACAAAACACATGCTCACATGCTAGAGAGATTATATACCAACGTGTCTTTTAGGGATTTCGATCACGCTCTCAATCTGCTCATAGCCGATGTGTTACCCGAATTATTTGCGCCAAAGGGGTATCGTGCCCGCATGGAGCTTGGTACTGCTTTTCAAGAATATTTCGAGAACTATATTCCCGCAAAAAGTGCTGCAATGATACAGGGTCGTTACTCTGAAAACAGTCGCTATGGCATAACGCTTCCCAATCAAGGACGCCTTGAAGTAGGCACGCTGATTGGAGTACTTGCCAACACTATCCCCTCGATATTTTACACACTTGTGCATATCTATTCAGATCCAGGGTTGGTCTCAGACATCCGCGACGAGCTGGAAACTTCAGGATTTGTGGGTACGCCAGAGGATATAAGTCAGCATTCCGGTCTTCTCGCCATGCCAGAAACTTGTCCCCTCCTGTACTCGACCTGGCAAGAGGTCCTTCGCGTTCATGCATTAGGCGCTGGTGCCCGATACATCCTCGAGGACATCATGTTAGACGATACTTTCCTCCTCCGCAAAGGCATGGTGGTCCAAATGCCGATGGCAGTAATGCACAGTGACGTCGCGGCCTGGGGCGAACACGTCGAAGAATTCCGGCCAAGGAGGTTTCTCAAGCAGAATTCTACGATCAAAGGAGGATTCAAGCCAAACTTTACGGCCTACCGACCCTTCGGCGGAGGCGCCTCGATGTGTCCAGGGCGGCACTTTGTGACCTTAGAGACCATGGCGTTGGCGGCGTGTATGCTATCGAGGTTTGATCTTATTCCGGTAGATGGACAATGGAACGTCCCCCGCCAGAAGCAGGAGAGTCTGGCCACCAATGTGTTTCCCCCTGAGAAAGATATCAGGGTTAAGATTGCAACAAGAAAGGGTGTTGGAGCGTCAAAGTGATAGCTTCAATCGAACACGCAGGGACGGGTGGTCTCGTTGGCTTCTTTCGTCATATACTATCCGGCGGTCCAATAACCAGACACAAAGATTTCTCATGAGTCGGTAGCTGTAATATGAGCACTCGGTATTAGGATCATAGCTTTCATGATCGATCCATCATCTCTTCTCCCTATTGGTGCATCAATTACCGGCGCGAGGCCGAGGCAGGAATCTTGGCGCGACTTGCTGACAAGAATAAAAGGCATAAATTTACGCCCAGCTCAATCATCGCTCCTCCGGGACACCGGATCAGTGGCCACGGCCAATCCTTTGTATTTCCGCGAGCACGGATCTCACCGCATGATCTCCCCACCAGCATCCGATGCAGCCCCAAATCTGCGCATGCCAATATGCAGGGTGCCGCGCTGAAAAGGTTCGCAATATTTCCCAGTATAGGACGTGTTGTGTCGTATTTCCTTGATCCTCGGAACCTGAACGCTGTCCATCTCAAGAAAACCTGCATCCACCATTTAGCGTATGCATGTATCCTACACCATTTGGCCTTGCGATTTACTGATAATGCTCCCGCATCCCACGTCTGTTATGTATGACCAAATTGTCAACTCTGAGATGAAGTAGGTACGTTTTTTCAACGTCGCCGGACAAGCTGGCGTTGACTGGTTCTGTTATCACTGAAAGGAAGTTTGAGAGTTGTCAAAAATCTTATTCTACGCTTGATAACTTATTTTTCTAAATGTTTTATAGACTATTATGAAAGGATCAATTATTGAAAGATTCGGATTTATCGTATTCTAGACCGTGCATTATCGGGCAACAGGCGTTTCCGAGTGGCTAGCGAAATTATGTATCTGAAACGTCGTCAGACTTTTACGGATTCATTGAATATGTTCTGTTTTTGTGTTGTTTTTTGTCTCTCTTTTAGCATGTAAATTCAGAGGACATTATTACCAGTGTGACTAACAGCGAGATACCCAGGAGTAGTCGCAATGCTGAGCCTTTGCAGGATTCGTGCATACGCTAAATGTCATGGACGAACCCCACTCCCCACACCACAAATCATCACGACACCGACAATAACACTTACACTCTGGAGAGCCGGGCCCAAGGCGCCAAACCCGAGCTGAGCGACTGAGTGAAAGTGACTGGGCAATGAAGGAGGGGTAGATCTGGAAGGATCCTGTTCCTGGATGCTGAATCATGAGGACAGTTTGAGGCTTCTGGGATGAATACTTTAGCACTTTTTGATCATTTCAGCAGCCAAGCCGGCTCGAAAGAAGGAATTGTGGCGTTTCGATCAGATCCTAGAATATCACCACTGTACTTGACCGGACATGTCCGAAAGGCCGAGTGGGGAAAGACTACCTTATACAACTCTGGCCGTTAGGTCTAGAGCGCGTTTCTCCGCGTAGGACACACACACAACCCCCCCCCCACCTTCCTCCTCACCTTTCAAAGAAATGGAGTTCAGTTCTCATATATACCTTCCCTCTGCAACTTCAGACTATGTGAAAAGGCCGCGTTGATCGATTCCTTAAATCTGCATGGGATGAACAGTCAGCAACTGACCATCGGTTCAACATTACCATCCCTTATTACCCAAGCATAAAACGGTGAACCATAAACATGCGTCTCATCTCACCCTCTTTGCTGGCTTCGCTCGCCCTCGCTGCTCCCTATGTCAGCGGTCAGGCCTGTTCCAAGCATCAATGTAGGTCTTGTCAAAATCATCATCTCTCTTTTGACACCGAACCTTGACTTGTTCCGGGAGCATCTGCCTCCCGTGTAACCCCCACATACCTGCAAACTTCTCAACGCGTCCTCAGACGGCAATGCTGACCTCGGAACCTCCCTCGTACAGCATGGAACATTTCCGAACTCGCGATATTCACCGCCGCCCCGGGCAGCGAATCCAGCGACTTGATCGACTTCGCCGTGGTGGATCCGTTGGTCGACTACCATGTGAACCCGTCGGAAAGCTGGAATTACTTCTGTCAGCGAGAACTGCCGGCTGGGAACGCGGGATCCCTCGCCGATCCTGTCGATTACTACACTTGCATCGGTTCGCCGACGCAGTTCAAATGGGACGGCGTGAGACTGTCTTTGAAGGAGGTTGTCGAGTGTGGAGGGTGAGTCGCTGGATCGACTTGAACAGGCTGCGTCGTGATTTCGTTCATTTGCTGACTGTGGTGAAAGTAACAATGTGACTGCAACGGGTACCAGCAAGCCCGTGTTCGCTACGGATTGCTATGCGACGGATGCCAATGGTGCTGATGGGGAGTGGTGTCTGGCTACCTACGATTTCAACATCACTATTACGTTTACTTGAGGTTGGGGAAGAGGGGAGAGTAGCTTGACATGATGTGGTGATCCATGGTGGCAAGAAAGGTGTGTCACAGCTTTCATGAGGCGTGATGAGCGATTGATAGACGGACATACAAACACAGCGTCAGGCTCTGATGGATTGAATTGACGCCGTCGTCTGTCCTGCAAAACGAGTCGATCCTTGACGTGCAGCCTTCACTCAATCGCTCCGTAATACATATGGCCAACATCTCTCGACAGCTGGAAACGCTTTTCTCAATCACCATGTTCATGTATATCTGCTCAGTGAGCAGACAAATGTCATGGAAAGTCCTTGTCTCCGAGCAAACTTTGGCCGATCGGCTTCGAGCCAAGCAAGGTGCGGATTTCTAACGATTAAGACTCAATGTACTCAGATGAATCTTCATCCCCAGCCTTCACAAAGATCACAGCTTCCTATGGCTTTCCCGCTTCACCGTCTAGACGATTCTTAACAGATGGATTTCTTGATCTTCCTTCTCCTCTCCAGCTCCGCCTTGAGCTTCTTCATCTTTGCCTCATTCCCATCCGATTCTGAATCCTTATCTTCGTCTTCATACAGCCTTTCTGCTTTCCTACGACTGCGTCTGTTACGCCTTCTTCTCGTCAAATGAGCAGAACCACCGCTATGTTCCCGCGGGGTTTCGTTCTTGCATGGTGGATATGTGGGTGTCGAAATGTGCGCTCGTCTGGGCAAGACTTTGAGTTGCTCTAACGAGAGACACAACTGTTCATTACTTTTGCTTCCATTCTCTTGATAGTCCCACTTAGCCGATGCGGTCGCGGTTTCAAGCGCATTTCCCATCTGTCGCCTATGACAGCGTCTGCTCGTCCGTACTTTTCGCCCACAGGATCCGGGCAAATTTCTTGATCTCGTCTTCTTTAACTTCAGTTTTGAGGTCGCTCTTTGCGATACGTCTCATATTCATCTCTCACATCTCGAGTGTTGACTTTTTGTCCACACCTTGGGTAGTAGAGCTTGCCATTGGACCCGAGAAGACAATATTTCGTCAAACTCCGTCACAACACTGCTAGAGCCCGTAGGAACACTGCGATCTTCGGTCAACTTGACCAGAGACGGCTGGAGCGGGGGTCATACCTGAAATTATACCGTTCCGTTGCAAGTTCGCCACCCTTTTTCTCTTTCGGCGAGAAATCGGTCAGCTCCGTCTGAGTTGAGAACGGAGACTCACTTATAGGCCACGTCGAAGTATCCGTTCGACCGTTCTTCAACTTGACCTCGCGTCGTATCAATATCACCGCAGGTAATGGGGAAGACTGGCCTTCTTCTTTGTGCTGCAGCGCGCTCGGCTGTGGAAGTCTTCCCAAGTCTCAGGACGCCATGCGACAGTATGATCAGATCTCTACCTTTCCCTAGGATCACATCTGTTGAGAACTCCTGATTCATCTTTGTCACTTCGGTAGTCGTCGTTCCGGGACCCTTTTTTTTGATGCTGAATCAAGCCCTGCATAGCCTTTTCATGTTCTTCCGGCAGGACGAGGCGATTGAGGCCTTAGTTCGAGTGGCAATTGATGTCGTCCACAATGCTAA